ATCTAGTTGCAGATATCCCTGCTTATTGTAGAGGAGTTGGAATGGATGGACTTTGAAGGTCCCCTCCAGCCCTAACTGTTCTGTGATTCTATGATAGTGAAAGACATGTATAGTTAAGACCAACTCTGTAGCTGGTGTACAGTGTCAAAAATTTGGATTTATGGCCAGCTGTAGATCCTGTCTAGTCACAGAGCCAGTTCCCTATCCTCAACCAGAAGTAGTAATTTTATTGAAAGATAGTGTAGCTGCAGTGTGAAGTGATTGATCGTGAACATCCGTGAAGGGTGCCATTTAGCCTCAGAGGCTGTATTCAAGAAAGGCAGATTCCCTATGACACTTGAGAGCTTAGCAGAGATGACTTCAGATCAGAAATAAATGGAAGTTTAACTATTTTAGTGGTGGCCAAAGGACTGCTGTTGAGAAGGGAAACATTAACAGCAGGGTGAAAGAGAGCCAGGATTGCTTAACGAGGTTCATCTTCAGGCACAGCAGAGCTGGGCACGTCCAAGGCACAGAATGGCAGAGGGGGACTGCACACCACAGCCTGCAAAGGAAGCCCAAGCTGGTGAGGAAGTGTTTAAAGATTTCTTCTTGCTGATAGTAGGAGAAACTGAGGGCAAAAAGGCATGAGGAGGGATGAGAAGTTTCTCTAATTGTTACAGGTTTGTGACCAGATGACAGGTTCGTAAATGCAGATTAGATACTTAATATTGTTAGTGATATTGATCTAAATACCTTCACAATTTTAAGTCTGTAATGGCTGGTGAATAGAGGAGAGATGTGGGTTTGAAGGCTTCTGGCATATTTTCCTGGTTGTTCAAATGATTTGATACATCATTTTCTTAAATTACTTTGAAGTTTGGGAGAAGTCTGCAGGCAATGGAAACCACTCTTGATCTGTATAAATCAGTTAAGCCCTGCTCTTTCTTGTGATCAAAGAATTGGAGAAAATAAGCCAGAAGAGACCTCCAGAGGTTATCATGTCCTTCCAGGGTCTGGTCATTAAGCCTGAAGTGTTGCTGCCACGTACTCATCTAGTTTCTTAAAACCTTCTCTCAGAAACAGAGAAAGAGGAGAGAAATACAAATATCGCAAAAGGGCTATAAAAGTATGGCCAGTGTGTATGAATTAAAAACAAGACTCATTATTAAAAGACAAGTGTGGCTGAGCTGAAAATTAGGAAGGGATTGTACCATGAGATGAATGCAGGTAAAAATGAAGAGATTAGTTGAGTATAAACAGATTAAGGTGCACAGCACTGCAGCAGGGAGCGGTGAGAATGTGAGGATTGTAAAAGCAATGTGAAAATGCAGATTCTCTTTCTGAGGATTTGGGAATCAGAAAAAAATTAAATTATGAACTGAAAGTCATAGCAAAATGTATTAATGGGAACTTCTGGCTATGCAGGGCATCTGGTACCTGAATATAACATGTAAGCATGAATCATCCTACAGAGTCCCCAGTTGCATAAGGGATAATTCAGAAATGAGGAAATCGTACAGAAAGTAGTCCTTGCTTTCACACTTACCAGGTGAAGTTGTTTGGCACAAGATTTTCACAGAAACTCAGGAGGGCACCTCATCTATATGCCTGCTCTGGAACAGGACTTGATATTTATGTAGTCCCTAATGCATTCTTATATTACAGACATTGCCACACCATCTCTGTTCCAATGCTCATCTGTCCTCACTGAGAGGGAAATTGGAAAAAGGAGCACCAAATATTCTTTACTGAAAAAAGTCAGTTATTTCTCTCATCTTATCCTCAACAAAAATGGATTATAGTTCATCTCTCTGGCTGTTTTTCCTGTCAATGGAAAGGAGTGGCATTTGGTATTCTTCTTTCCCAAATTTCATCGTTTTCATTCCAGAGTTGTAAAATGGTTTCTCCCATTTTGCAACACCATTTTGGGTTCATACCCAATTGTATCCCAGGCTTCTTCACCATGGTTTTGAGTGCAAACAAAAGCACCATGCTGGCTGTGCTGAAGTTTTCTTTGCTCATGGAAAAGCTGAGGACCTGCATGCTTCATGCTTTCCTAATGTGATGGAAAATCATTGATACTCTTAGAGGGATTTCCCAGTTGTCCACTATTATGAGCATTTCATATGAACCCTATTTCCTTGTGAGAGATCAGAGGCGCTGGAGTTAGGATATATCACATACAGAGCTGCTCTAGGTGTTACTCCGCTTAACAAAGAATAAACCAGTCTGGTTTGAGAGCATTTTTTTCCAATCTGAAATGGCTGTTTTGTAATCCTTATTCTCCTTTTGGTGCTTAGAAGGGATTATCTGATCAAGTATCTCTCTTGTTATGGAGGAACACTCCTGGAGGAACAATCTGCTTTTTAAAGGCAGTGGTGATGCTTGTTTTGCTTTTGCCCTTCACAAGGGAAGTGGCTCAATGTGGTATTCAGCACTTGAAGGTGAATTTCATCAGGCTTGGATGATCTGAACACATTTGAGATATCCAAATATTATTTAAGCAGTTTTTGTCTCATTTCACACATACTCCTACTGGTTCATTTCAAAGGTGTTGCATGCCTTGTTGCAATTTATTTTTTTAGTAAAAATAATAAAAAGGGCACAAGTTTCCTGGCTTCTCTGGATGATTGTTTTCTGGTTTAAAAAACAGCTTTTCATTTTCCTTCCTCTTTCTCCAATATTGACAGCATTTCTAACACCTTTTCTTATTGCCTTTTATGTCCCCTTGCTAGCTGTGGTTCATTTTGTGCCTTAGCTTTGCAGGCACACTTCTACCACTCTGTTTGATCTGTTTGTCTATACCTGTCTTCAGAAATGCCACCTTATTTCCATTTGTGGTACAATTCCTTCCTGATTTTCAGTCTAGTCGCACAGGTCTCCTTCTATCAAGTATCATTCTGTATTTGTATCTGAGGTGCTTGCAATTTTATTCTCCTAAACTTGTTTTTGCTGTTTGCTACAAGTTACCATTTATTGCCAGACATTTAAATTCCTTTTCTTCCTTTCTGTCTGAGAAGACCTTCTGGCAGCTAGTGGCCTAAACAGCTCTGCAGTGTATTAGACAAGTAGTATGTTAATCCTACTGACTGATAGGGTTTTTCATGCTAGCATTAAAAAAAATAATCATTTAGCTTATGTGACGCACAGGGCTGTATATACACAGAGGAAATATAGCTGCAGGAGGCTGAAAATGTTAAGGCATCACACTGCAGCAGCATGGGATCACTGTGCAAGGGATGGTGAAACCCTTCCTGTCTTCCTTTTTTATTATTCCTTTAGTAACTCTGCTGCTGTGATTGCTCTGCTTGCCTGTGTATGGCAGAATACAGCAGGTTTCTACTGGGAGCTGTAGAGAAATACCTGGGGCATGAGATACCAGCAGAGGGTTCAGAAATATTTCTGCTGCCTCTAGCACGGGGTCAGACTTGCAGGACTTGAGTAGATGCCAGCCTGGTGTGTAGGGACAGAACCCATGTGAACAAGATCTGTTCTGTCCCCAACACTGGGTATTGAGCTTTTGAGCACTCATGCCCATGAAAAGGGCTTGATAAACCTGAGCTCCCTGGAGGCTGCAGAGGCTGCACCCAGGTGAAAAGCAAGGCTGTGCAGGTGTGCAGGTCACTGGGAGGGCTGAAGACAAGGAGCTGGTTTGTGGCAGTACCAGAGGAGGTACCCATCTCTTATTTTGCCACTGCTGTAGAAGAAAAAAGGTACAAGGAAGGATAGAACTTTCTGGCACCATTTGAAGTTTGGCCTCCAAGTCAGCTGCCCAGCTGACCCCATGTTTAGCTGCCCAGTTAGCAGGAGTGAGATGGGGTCTTTGGGGATTTTCAGAGGAAGCAATGCCAGAGGACATGATGGATAGTAATTATATATACTTTTTCTGTGCAGTCCATCACATCTGATTCTCTTGTGTAAGTGTTCTCCATGTCTTGTTAACAATAACTGAAACCAGATTAAGGATCTGTGGTGTGGCCAAAGGCCTCTTTCCTGGTTCATCAGCTGCAAACTTGGTTCTTGTGATAACCAAACACTATCAGCAACTGAGTACTTTCACTAAGGACTAGTTTATGGAGATTCCTTGAACCAGCTGTGGATTCTGGGTGTGGTCTGTGCATTCCTGATAAGAGAAGGGAGAAATATTTGGGAAAATTCTTTGAACATTTGCCTTTTAAAGAAGCCAAGTGTAAGAGGAAGAAGAAACCTCTGCACTGTGTTGAGGATACAGCAGAGCCACAAGCACTGAGGATAGTTTATGGGAAGTTTGTGAGTTTTGCTCTGCAATTGCAACTGGCACTGGAAGAGTGCAGATGAAGAGCTCCACTATTGCCATGGGAAGGGCATGGAAGGAGGGACAACTGTGTACCTGCAGGGAGCTGAGCCCACGTGGCTGCAGGGGGAATCCAGGGACTCCCAGCAGAGATGGGCTGCATTTGTCACATAGGGAGCCCCAAAGTGGTCTTCTGGATAATAGAAAGTGAGAGAGAGGGGTTGGGGCTACTTCTGTGTGCAGGCTGTGCCCGCTTGATTGAACTGTCCCATGGGAAAAGGCAAGGTCATTCTAGGGAATTGCTGTGGGGATGAACCCCGGGTCACTTCACTTCTGCAGTAGCAAAGAAATGATTTAACACAGTGCAGGCATCTGTGACATCCAGTGTCCAAGGGTTTGGTGGGATGAACATTTTAGTAGTTATGTCTTGGAATGTGTGGCTTTCCAGTGAAATGAGATCCCTGCAGAGTAAACCTGTCATTACCACACTGGGAGGGAGATGCACGCTCTGCTCCTAAATCCACAGGCAGTAGGTGTATCTGGGACCTGGGATTTTTATTCAGCTCACATCTGTGCAGCATCCAGCACCATGCTGGGCTGGTGCATGTAAAATAGCTGGGGGCATGCCAAACAACAGGGAGGTCTGTGCCACAAAGTGCTGACAGCCCCAACCTGTGACTGATTTAGGCTGTGTTCCCTCAATCCTTTTGAACTCTGGAGCTGTCTTTCCTGGTAGCATCTCCCTCCCCTTTCTGCCCTGGCTGCACAAATGTGCTCAATTAGGGTTAACTCAAACTGAATCAAACTTCGTGCCTGAGGTTGGAAATCTTCCCAGTCAACTCACCACAGCCACATAGCATGGTGGGAGACAAGGCGAGAGGGGAGATGAACGCTTTTCAGAGAAACGAATCCAAGGAAACTTTGTTCACTTTTATTTCTGCAGGAGATGATCCCCCCAAAGGAGATTTCCCTCTTCAGAAAAAATCTCCGGTAAGTGTTACTGCTGGTTTCCTTTGCTTTGCTTTCTGCTCAGCTTGTTTTAAACATTGCAAGATCTCTCTGTTCTCTCCTCTGTTGTGCTCTGGCTACAGACAAACACCCTTTCTTGCAGAGGGTTGAAATAAGCCTTAACAACTCAAGGCAAAAATCCCTCCACTAACCTGATTAAGTTAAGAAAGTGCAGCTTAAAGGGAAAGCACAAATGTCTGAATGTTTGGGGGAAAGGATAAGGGTTTTTATTGCCTTTTCCCTGAACACTACTTTCCTTGTGGGAAACAACTTAGATCTCTGAAGTGGATGGAGCTGTTGTGCAAAGGAGGGAGGGAGCTGAACTCTGTTTAGTTTGATGAAACCCACTAGGGAAGGGTATCCAGATGATGAAAAGCAGAAGGAAGGACAGGGATTGAGGACAGGCCACTGGTGAGTGTTATAGAACCCAACTGTAATGCCAGAGCCATGAGTTTACATCTTTGCCTCTGATTTAAAGCCCGAGTCAGGTGCATGTGTTGCTGCCTTGCAGCTTTGATGTTTGTGCAGGTTTTCAAGCTAATTCTTGTTGAGTGCTTGACCCCTAAAAACTGTTTGCTGCATAGGATTCAGGAAGAATTTGGCTTATGTTGTAGCTGCTTTGACTTGCAGGATAACATGTAATACTTGGTCTTAAAACTCACAGTCATGTCATTAGCAAACCAACTATTTAACTCAATTTTAATTACTGTGCAGACATTAACTATTGGATATCCAGAGCTCCTGGGAAATATTAATCTTTATCCTGTTTTCCATTAGTCAGCAAGAAGGAGAGCTGAAAACAAATGTCTTCTGTAGTGGGTACTTTAAATGAACTTTCTTTTTTCCAAAGACACGGTCTATCAACTTTCACAGTATCTTTAAGAGATCCATAATCCCACAGATCCCAGGCTTGCTGTGGAAGCTAAGCACTGCAGACTATCTGTGTGTTCATGAATCCAGGCTTAACCTCTTTGCTTTTGCTGGGACTGTTTGCTGAGCATGGTCCTCCTCTGCGAAAGCGAGCAAACTGCTTCTGGCTCCCCACATGGATGAAAGCTTCCCACTTTTGGATGTCCAGGCAGGCCACAGGCAGGTCAGTGATACAGTGGAGACAATACATGAGGGTTTCTGCACGTGCTGATGCCATCTCATGACACACAAGCCAGATGGAAGTACCCCTGCTTGTAAGTCGTTGCTCTGTGTTTGTAAGCACTTACTCAGGGTGGTGGCTCAGGCACTTGGCAAGGTTTAGCTGGGAAGTCACTGCCCCCTGCTCTCCTTTCCCTCCTTACCCCTGCTCGTCTGTAGGAGGTGCCCATTCCAGAGCAGGAGTGGCTGAAATGAGTCACTGCACCTTAAACCGGTGCAAATGAATCCACTGGAACTTGTGCACTGGGTATGGAGGGGTGAGTTCAGGCAGCAGTGCTCCTGACACCTGTCCACCTGGTTTGGACAGTCACTCTCTGTACTTCCACCAAATGTTATTAAATGCCATGAGTATGTATAGTAAGGTCTGGGAAGGAGAGGAAGAAAAATATCCCTGTTGTACAATTTTACTTCCAATTTCATAAAATGCCTCCCAGCACAAACATGAAACATAATCTGCCTCTTATGGATTTTCTTCTATTATGAAAAGCTTGTTGGAGAAAAATATTCTGTGTGTTCATATGGCTGTGTATTTGTGCATTTACAGCTTATATATGCCACCATTTTTAGGCTAGTCTAAAAGCAACAGGCCCCAGTGCAGTTTCCAAGGGAGCCCACTCTTTCTTACAAGCCATATTGCTGAGCACAATTGTTTCAGAGTAAATCATAAATTAAATGGATAATTATGTATTTACTTTAGTAAAGTAAGAAGGGTTTCTTACAAAAAGGCAGCCCATATTTGGTGAGAAAAATATATTAGTATATATTAGATGTAAAAAATGGATAAAAATATTTGTCTTTAGAGGATTAAGTAATGGAAAGTAGGGGGGAGGTGGGAGTTGTGGAGTTTTGATTTTCTGTCTGTTTTGTTGCTCTTTCGTAATGTTGAGGAAGACAGCGTCATTAAGCTATACTCTTCTAAACTTGATGCCATTGCTTTGGGAATCCAAATAAGCTTAGGTCTCTTGGTAGTAAAATAAACCTGAATAAACACATCTATTTTGGTACTTTATTTGCATTTGGGACTCTGGGAAGAAATACAGGGATTCATTATGTCTGACATGAGGCACAGAAATGCATGTGAAGAGTTCATCTCACTTCACTGGCCCATACCATGGCTGTTTAAGTCCATAAGTATAGTTGCATCTGTTAATATCACACTCCCCCCAGATTCCTCACCAAATCCATGGCCGGCCCCTCTCCTGCTAATTGGCAGAGACTGGGCAGTGCTGTGCAAACCTGCTTTCCTGTTGTGAGGCAGTGGAGCCACTAAGCAGCTGGAATCTGAAAGCTGCTTAGCTCAGACCACGGTGGGGTAGCAAGAGGGACAGAGGCCCACACAGGGTCATGCCAATACTCATCTGTTTAATGCTTTGTATTTCACTTGGGAAGTGCTGATGTTAGCTGCAGTAAAGTCAGGCTCAGACAAAGAGTGGCCACACTTAGACAGGTTTGACAGTCTCATCACTGGCTTTTTTTTAGTTCTGATTAATAAATTGAATTATCCATAGCTGTGCCAGCAATCTTGAAATATGAAGTGGATGCCATGCCTGAGGGAGTGTCAGACAGAGAGCTGATGCTCTGCTCAGAGAGTGGTGGCACAGCTCAGCACAAGTGAGGAGCAGAGATTGAGAGAGGTAGCAGCTTTACACACAGAAGCAGACAGCAGATCCCTGGGGTTTCTCAGTTTCTGAGGTAAGGTCTGATACTGGAAGAGGGAGCAGTTTTGGGGTAGGGTGGTAGCTTTATGTGGAGTGCAGAAGAAAAGGCATCCAAAGGTGTTTTTTTGGTATCAGTGACATTTTAGCATTGCAGTCGAGAGTTGGTAGCATCCTTCCAGTGGAGTTCCTGGAGCTCCAAGCATGGTGGGCTGCTGAATCCCCATGACAGTCCTTACTGGGCTCATGTCAGCCCGGCTGATTCACTGGGGAGCCTTAATCAAACCAAGAGTACTGTGAGGTCCACTCTCTCCGTTGAGTCCAGATCACAGGCCAGTCAAGCAGCTGTGGGCACTTGGTTTTTGGACTGGACTTCTCTCCACCACCCAGACACTGTGGGAATCTGGTGCTGGGATGAAGGCTTTGACAGTTGATATGTTCTTGTTTGTCTCCCACAGAAACTCTGTGGCTCCAACTACCCCCTGAGCATTGCCTTCATTGTGGTGAACGAGTTCTGTGAGCGCTTCTCCTACTATGGCATGAGAGGTATGTGGCTGTGACTTTCCTGTCCTGAGGTCTTTACACAAACTGCACTGGTGTTTCTGAGCTGTGCTGGGTGTAGTATCAGCTGTCTTTCAAAGTTAATTGATATTTTGGAATGCACATATGAACAGTGTATCCTAACATTGTTGCTGTATCTAAGATGAGAGGAAGTTGGGACTAGAGGCCTCCAAATGTACCTTCCAGTCTAAATTATTGTACAATCATTTATGTCAAACCTGGTTTTCTACTGTGTGATGTCTTTCATAGTTGATGTGCAATCAGTGTGTTTGGGAATTGAATCTTACAGGCACCTAATCTGTAAATAGAAAAAGTGCATAAACAGAACTACAGGTTAGGGTAAGATAAGCTAGAAAATACGTTTTTCAGCTAAACATAACTGTTTATGAGCAAAGGATGTCAGATTCTCATATATCTCATTTTAGCTTCTCCTGTGTCAGAGATTATGAGGAGCAGGTCTGGAAGCACAAATCTTTCTACAGCACTGCACAGTTGCTAGACAAATCAGTAGTTTTCTTGCCACCATGATCCTGCTTACCTTATCTACCTTGCAGATATACACATTAATTATCTGATATGATTTTTTTTGTTGTTTGTTTCCTTTTAGCTGTCCTGACACTCTATTTCTTAAGCTTCTTCCACTGGGATGAGAATCTCTCCACTGCTGTGTACCATGCCTTCTCTGCGTTGTGTTATTTCACACCTGTCATCGGAGCCATCATGGCAGACTCATGGCTGGGCAAATACAAGTAAGTGAAGACCTCTCTCTAATTTAGTCAGCATGCAAGGACAGTGCTGTGTGTGCTCCCAGTTTTGAGCTAGCTTAGAGTGCAGCAAAGACACACTTGTGAAGGTCAGCTCCTCTCTTTTAACAGAGCTGATCTGTTTGCTCATGCTGTTCTGTGCTTGTCTAAACACAAAGGCCAATAGGCAACAAAGTTGGGACAAATTATATGTTGCAATAACCCTTTTCCTCCACTGTCCTTCCATACCTGACTTCAGGAAGGGTGTAGAGCAATTAATCTTCAGTTTGCCATGGTCTGCTTCTGAGAAGGATTCAAAGATAGTGAGGAAGCAATGTCATCATGTAGATCTCAGATTCAGATGAAATATCATTAACTGTAATGTACTTACTTACACTTCTCACAGCATGGGTAATGTATCAGCACACCCACTTTTGTGCCTAAGAAACCTGTGTTCTCTCAAATCATCTCCATCAGTACATAACCAGGTAGATTCTTCCTGAGTAAGAGTCCTTAGGCAGTCTTCCCTTCTGATGATAAGCTGTGGAGAATGTGTGGGCACAATCTGCCCCAGAATGGTGATGAGCAGCTGGATATGGGACTTTCTTTGCTTGCCACTGTTTTTTCATTGTCTGAGAAGTCTTGGCTGTCAGGGTGATGAAGTGCAGCTGAACTTTTTTTTCTAAGACTAAGCTATCTGGCAGAAGTGTCTCTATAGGAAATAAGCAGCTGCCATATGCCTATCCAGAAGAAAGTTCTTAAGAAGCTGTCAGTGTCCTTTTTTTCTCTTAAGAAGCTGTCAGTGTCCTTTTTTTCTCTGTGCTCAGTTTTAGTCATTTTCTTGTCCATTTGAATGAAAAAAAAACAAACAAAAAACAGTGGGACTTTATTAAATTTATTATTTAAGGTCACATAGCAATGTTCATTAGTTTTAAGGATGTTTATCTTGCAGCATGATGTTGTGAGAAGGTAAATCCTTATACAGATGCTCATGTTATTCAAGAGACTTTCCTTGGAGTAATCCCTATAATTTCATGGGCAGTGGCTTTTACTGTAGTAGCTGAACCTTGGCCAGTATAACAGATAAGAGGGGCTTTTAGGAATGATCTGATGTGGTGCTAAATTAGCTGTTGCAACCAGGGTTTGAATGCATCAGGGACCTCTTCCATGATCAGAGCTCACAGGACTTCTAGTGTTTCTGTCCTTACAAGTCCTTTGATTCACCTCTGTATGTGTCTTCAGCACAAGAATACATAGATTTCTCTTAATCTAGAGGGTGGTGAAGGAATAGAATACACTCAAGAGTCTGAACATCCTGCCTATATTTCTTCTTCTCCCTCACCAACGCATGGGAGGCAGATAAATGAGCTCAGTCTTTCAGGGATACTTGGGACCCAGAACAGACTTACAATGAGGAAACCACACTCCTAATTCAGGTTTGTTGGTTAGGTGAGTGGAATGTGGGCGACAGTCGCTAGATATCCCTTCCAGTCAAGAGATTCACTTACGCACATCCTACAAAATGCCAGTTATTAGTAATCTGGAAACTGAGTTGGGCCTGAACAGTGCCCTTCTCTTTGCAGTCTTCCATGCATGACAAGACTGGAACACTTTTCATTTATTCTGTTCAGTAAGGTCTACAAATAAAGCATGGGCTATCCCTCCTTAATCTGATCCCATTTGCATATGTATTCCTTCACTGTTGACACAAAGGAATTACAGCTGCCCACTGTACCACTGGTAGAACAAACCAATTCCTTGTGTGCCAGCCAAGCAGAGCTGCCATACCAGGGCCCATGGGCACACTCTGTTTTCAGCTTGTACATCACCCAGCACCTCCAGTCACTGCTGTTTGCTTTCCTCGCAGGACGATCATCTACCTCTCCATTGTGTATGTTGTTGGCCATCTGATAAAGTCAGTCGGTGCCATTCCATCCCTGGGCAACCAGGCAGTTCATGTGTAAGTAGCCCTTGAAGCCACAGTGCTCTAGTAGATTGTGATGGTAGTTTACCCAAGTCTGTAATTTGTTTTATCTCCATCAGACCAGCATTTTGGGGGCTGTGCATGGATTACTTTCATCAGGGAAGGGTTAGGAATGTCTGAGTAAGAGCAGAAGGGTGGATCTAGTGTGTGAACATTCCAGACAGAGTTGGAAGTCACCACACAGACTCTAACCCCTTTGGCACAGGCATTGGGATCACTCCTCTCTGCTATACCATGCTACTGGTTTGGCCTCCTGTATCCAACTGCCTGCACCAGGCTCCTTCCTGGAGCCTGCTCATTTCATCAGCACAGCTGCCCAGCTCAGCAAGGTTCCCCCATGTGCATAGGAACACAAAACTGAAATACATTTTCTGATGACAGGGGAAGGGTCTGTCTCTTCCACAGGATACAACCCTCCAGATTCTGAGCTGATAGGTTTGTCAGAGTAGTGTCTCTGAAACCACCAAGCTGGTTTTGTCTGTGTAGTCATGGCTCAAAAAATATGCACATGCAGGCAGGAGCACATGTTGTTTACAGAACAGTTTTCTTTTGTCCCAGACCTGGTCAGTCCTGATACTCCTGTTCCCTAGAGACATAATCTGTCAGGCCAATAATGGTATTTCGAAAACCACTGGGAAGTAGAAAGCATACAAGAATGAGCCTTATTCAGTTTGTCTGCTCTTACCCAGGCTACAAGGTTGCAAAAAATACTCCCCTTTTTCTTTTTTTTCTTTTTCTCAATTGATCTCTGATGCCTTTTGTTGTCATATAAGTAAAAATAATTCCACAGATCTTTGATCTCCTATATGTCCATTGGACCTCAGAACAACAAGAAACTGACAAAACCAGTTTGGTTAATTGATTGGTATGGAATGCAGAAATTAGGATAATTAATTTGTTTTTCAAATTATTAGGATACTTAATTTGTTTGTTTATTTAGCTCATCATCATTACCCATGTGCAAAAGACAACACTATCAGAGGAATCATGGTTGGGTGGCACTAAAATGCTCTCATAAGCTGTGGAAAGGTTTTGCAATGGTGATATTTTTGTTCTTGCATGAAGGGTCCTGTCTATGGTTGGTCTGTTTTTGATCGCCCTTGGAACGGGAGGTATCAAGCCCTGTGTCTCTGCATTTGGTGGGGACCAGTTTGAAGAGGAACATGTAAGACTTCTTTTCTTTCCTAAAATCTTCAGTGTCTGCTTACTTTGTGAGGATATTTATGTGATGAAAATCCTGTTGTGCTAGAAGAAGGCTAGTTTGCTGGAAAAGACATACTAAGGCATGAGGTAGGACTTGAGAGAATCTAGATGCTTCAGGAAGGCAAAATGACAGCAGAACAGGATTGATACTGAAAAGGATAGGTCATAATTGCATCAAATCATCTAAACATTAATTGGACATCAGAGTAGTTGAAAAATCCTGTCTTGCATATCACAGAACTGTATATATCACAGCTTAACAAGGGTGATTATAATGCACTGCAGTGGAATATGGCAAATGAAAGAAAAGACTATCACCAGCCTATGCTTCTGTGGGACTTTTTCCTCAAATCAGTCATAGTCTGTGTTTCAGATGTTGTTCAGAAAGAACTATAGGAAATTCTAGTCTTTTGCAAGTAATGCCAGAATGTTTTCTGGATATTTTAGAATGGAAAGTTCTGAAGAGTTGAGAAAATGTTTTTGTTTAGCTGTGTTTGTGCTGTGTATCCTGAGAATTGTAGTCCAGGTGCTTTGTGTCCTCATTCTCTGTCCTGAATGCTTAGCTCCTCATCTGTACTAATCTCAAACTCCCATTATTCAGAACAGGGGCTAAACCAGGGATAAGGTAGTGCTTAAGGAAGCAAAGCAGGTCAGGAAGTGCTAATCCTCAGGCAAAATGCTAAATTTTTCAATTGATTTGAAGTTAAATAGATTTATGTTGACCTAACACACAAATAAAAATTTCTTTTTTCTCAATGACAAGTATTCAAATCACCAAGTTGTGTGCAGGGCATAAGTCTTCAAATATGTAGAAGGCCACTGCTACAAAAAAGAAAATAAGTGTGGGGGTCTGTGGTGAGTAGGCTTAAACTGAAGGAGGATTATTTAGGACTGACAGTGTGAAAATTTTTTCCAGAAGTAGATCTAGAGAAACACTGGAAAATACTAGGGCCTTTGTGAAATGGAAATTACCATCAATGGAGGCATTAAAGAAGGATATTAGACTAACAGTGTGTCAGGAAAAGCACTGGTAAATTTAGATAAGAGTTGGCCCCTTGGACAAGGAGCCCAGTAGGGCAGTTTTCTCCTTGTCTTTTGCAATACCCCAATATGAAGTCAACATGTAATGAAATAATATAGACTAAATTTAAAATTTTGGGAAGAGTTGTGCTTTCTGCACATGAACTGAGTGATGCTGAAGTGATGAAGCTTATGATTACTAAGAAGTAACAAAACATAGGATGTTCTGTGGTCACTTGTCCAAAGCAGATCCTCCTGCAGGCATGTGTACATGATGTCATGTGCTTCATGGCAGCACAGCACACATGCTCTGGGATAGCTGCATGCATCCCAGTGCATGGACATCCTGGCTTGCTGCACCAATAGCTGTCCCAAGAGAATTCTATGAGGTCCAACAGCAGCATTTACACAAGTGCTACTTCTATGAATATTAATGATTAATAGTGTTTATCCAGCATCTTTCAATTACCACCTAATTACAGTATGATAATAGGTAACACTTATCTTCAGAGTGTTTCATAGACTTCAGCTAATGAATCTCAGCACCCCTCTCAGGCACATACATATTATTATTCCAACTTTACAACTACAGCTGCATCACAGAGCAAAAACCTGAACTGCCTGTGGTTGTGCAGGCCTCTACCCATTCTCCAGCATTCAGACTACATCTCTCCAACAAATTTATCAAACATTCACCTGTGTGCTACCTTCAAGAAAAACTAATTTAGAGAAAGAAGACTGTAAAAAGCATTCTGATAAGAACAATGTTTTATGCTCTATTCGTTCTTTTTCAAACGTTCTTTTCAAAATAGAAAGTTTTCTATTTTGCCATTTTGAAATGACTTGGCCTTTCAGAAGAAACAAATGTTTTATGCTATGTGATAGGAAGTTTAAGTCATCAGAATTGGAATGAGAAGTTTTGATTTTGTAAGGAGTGAAAGGTTTGAGGCCAACAGAATGTTTCTTTCCTCTGGAGTGGTGTTTGAGGGGTCTTATGTTTTATTTTATTCCACTCCAGGTAGGCTGAAATAAGTTTTAAAAATTCACTATGAAATGAAGCATTTGATTCCCCCTTAATTTTCAGGATGCCAATAAACTTCATCTGAGTCCTTAAGTGCACGGGCTTATTTGTTTTGTCTGAAAACTTGGAATGAGGTATTTCTGTGTATAAATAACTAAATTACCCCTGCTATTCCTAGAGACAAGTTTATGTTTTGAGGTAAATGCACAGCATCAATCTGATTCTCCCTGAAGTACTTCAGGAGCATAATAGTCTTGGATCTGCCGCTTTGAGAATGGTACAACTACAGACAGTGATGGGGACTAATTTGGTGGGAGGTCAGATAGGGAAAACAGATTTATCTGCAGGAGATTTCCAAATGCCTTTGTCTATGGGATTAGAAGTCCAAGTTAAGAATGCCTGAACAAAATTATATTTACAATATGTTATATGAATGTGAAGCTGCTGCACACATTAATTAGGGACCAAAGCTGCTTTCAAACAATGCAGTATGGTGTTTAAGGTGCTAAATAGCTTTTCTTTGTTTCTTTATTTTCTGGTTGCCAAGGAGATCAGGATTATCATGTACAGTACCTTTTCTCAAATTAGCTAATCCAAATCATGTTGTTAATGTGTGTCTGCTCTAAAGATTAAGACAATAGGGACGAAATTCTTTATTCCAATCAGTATAATTTGCAAGCTGCAGGGTCATTGTCTTTGTAGTTATTTCAGCTTTTCTGACTGAAAATCAGTTATTTCAGTCAGTATGTAGTTATTTCAGCTTTTCTGTTTTTCTTTCCATCACTAAAATCTGAAAATGTGTGAAATAAGATGCTCCAAATTCTTTATGCATCACTATCCTCCTCTCTTACTACCACATTCTTTTTAGTAATTGTTGCTCTAGACTTTGTCATGTCAAGAGTGGCATGCTTGAGTTTATCACAGCTCCCAGAAATTTTGATTTGCTCAGATATCAGGGGTTAGAGACATGCCATGACAATTTGGCTAGAAGAGGGCAGGACTGTGAGGGTTTTACTGCACCACCCTCGACAAGTCATGCAAGGGCTATCCAGGAATGGGGAAGATTGCTGAGGCTGCTCATTTCTCTAGTTTTCTCTATGATGACAAATAACTGGTCACAAAGGTAGAATGAAAAAGAAAATATAATTTTACTAGTTTAGCAGTAGAAAGTTCTGGATTATCAAAACCACCAGCAAGGAAAGGAATATAACAGATAGTAAGACCCACTGCTGTTTTCTATTAACCATGAGAACATGCCATTGAGATGATTTTTATAAGGCTTTCAAATCCTTTTGTCTAGGATAAATAATTTAAGAGGAATGTATGGGTCAGCCTTGAAAACTCTAGAAAATAAAATTGTGTAAAAGCCAAAAGCTCAGTTGATGGGGTCTTCCTAACTGTGCTGGGTCACGGCAGAAAGCCCTTAATCCAAGCAAGGAGACCCCCAGACTCCTTGGTGGGTGGCAGTGGGAGGTGATGGGGCTCTCACCCTGACCTTCTCAGCACCCACTTTACAAGGGGGCAGAAAGAAAAGCCCTCTCACAGTCTCCCACCTCCCTTTCTTCCCTGCAGTAATCCCCTGTGATAAGAGGCTTCTTGCCATACCCAGTAGCAATATTTCCTGTTGGCTGCACCATCAGTTACAGGAAGTTTTGTTACATTTTTGGAGCTCAGGATTCATTACTTTACAGCTGTCCTCTTTTAGCTGCCTGCAATTCTTCACACTTTCTCCAGTTTTCTAGCCTTGTGAGTATTGTTGTCTCAGGGAGCAGATGGAAGCAGGACACATTAGAAGGAAAGGAGACAGAACAACAGTCCCTGAGGAGTTTCCTAGCCCTCAGCTAAGTTAAAGCTTTGCATTCAAATGATGCTCAGGTCACGGAGATGAGGCTCAAGGTGCCCTGGGAGCTCTCTGTCGGGCACCATGCAATGTCTGATGCAATTTTCCCTTCTACCTTTATCAGCTCAGGTTTCCCAGAGCTGCTGATAAGCATGAGCACGGGGTGGGTCAGGTAGCCTGCCTTTGTTTCCCCTCTCTGCTGGCCCACCCAGGTGCAGGGAGGAGGTTAACACTGTATACAGCACAAGTGTGACTGTGCATGAATGTCCCTCCCACAAGCAAGGAGAGACTGCACACACACATTACTCCTGCACAAAGGACCAAACTCTGCATCAAATTCTTGATTCCTTCCAAATTATGAATTATGCAGGAAGGAAGAAGATCAGCATGAATTCTTTGACTCTATAAACTATAATATATTACAGCTTAGGTTAAATTCAAAACTCTTTCTCTTAGAGTTCATCCCTCCATCAGGCTCTTGAATTTGCTCCCCTAGATTTAATTTACCCTATATAGTTTGAGGTTGATTGGCCTCACCTTGATGGTCTCCTCTTTGATGGATACTTCTCAATTGCTGGCACTCTTTCATCTATGCTGTGATTACCAGTTCCTTAAAATATACAGGTTTCTTTTTCTATTTGTACGCAGGAGAGGAGGGGAAAAAAAAAGAGCTCAGACATGGAAAGAAATTATGAGCTTGTCAAACCATGCCAAATTGGATTGAATTAGGTGACAAAGGATCTGAATCATGCTACTTGTTCTGAATAAGTAAATGCTTTCCCCTCCTTCCAGTTTCAATACACTCTCAAAGCAGCAGCTTTTCCTCTGAAATGCCAAAAAGCCCCAAAGCACTTCTCAAGTAATGTGAGCTGATTTGTGTGAGCATTTACCATCACCTGAACACGAGCTTGTTTGCTTAACATTTTATGCACTTTGTGTCAATATTTACCCAGCCTTCCTAACGAGAGAATTGATAGTGTTCAATTTGCAAGCCCAATGCTGTGTATTAGCCATGACATTGACATTGTCTTCTCTTGTTTTAGACCTCAGAGAGAAGCAAGTTTTTTTCCATCTTCTATTTATCCATTAATGCTGGAAGTTTGATCTCCACGTTTGTAACTCCTGTATTAAGAGGTCAGTGTGGATTTAGAATAAAACAATAAATTACCTGCCCTCTAACTACTCTACTGTGCATAGTTAGACTCTTATGACAACAGAATGGCAGAAATTATATTATCTGTGGAGTGGTCAGTGTATTGCATTTACACCTTGTTAATCCTGCTGTAGCAGCATAACAGATTTATGATACAGACAGACAACTCACAGAAATTATATTCCTGGTTGTATTTCAAAGCCAGCCTGAACTGCAGAATTAAAGCATGAAAAGTGGAAGGACCTATATGGTCATCTATTCCCCACTGCCAGTGAAGAACTTGGCTTCAGGTAAACTATGGATGGGAAATGAGCTCTGCTGTCCTGTGCAGTATCAGGGCTGAAAAACTTAGCAGGGCTGGTTTTAAACTCCTACCTTCTCCCTCCCACGGGGTGCTGCTGACTTCTGGAGGGCTCTGTCCTGGCACTCAGGCTTGTCTGCGTGGATCTGCTTGCAAGATTGCTGCCCTGAGCAACTAGCCTTGAAGACAAAGCACAGGCCTGTGCCCCATTTAAGTCCTACTTTATATTCCAGCCTGCTTGCAAAACCCTTTTTAGTCCCTAAGCCTTGCTGCACTTACTTCATTGTATTGCAGCGCTTCGAAGCCAGAAGGATTGGCACACTCTAAACACAGGCACAGGAGCAGAGCAGCAGGCCATAGGTGATGGGGACAGGGACAAGGTAGTCTTCACATTTAGTTGCCATTTTTTCCATTCCATTCCATCGCTTCCAGAAGGCTCTGTTTGTTTAGAGTCTCATTTTAACAGGCTCTTGTCTTGTGTTTACACCATGCACAGGGACAAAGACAAATGCTGTATTTCTTACTTGTTTATTCTCTGGTGTCTCTGGGTCAGCATTCGGTTGGGAAGGGTTTTTGCTTAAAGTAGTCAATGGGCAGATGAAAATCCAGTTCCTTGAAGTATCAAAACATGAGCCAGTATAAACTAGTTGCAGCATGGAACTGGAGAGCATGGGGAAAGAGTAATGTTCTTGCTAAGTGTGAAATCTTTTCTTGGAAGAGCAGGAAATTCAGTTTGTAGACATTTGGTACAAATACAAAATATATACTTCTAGGTAGAGAAGTCCAATTCATTTAACGTGTTAAAAGTTCAGTGTGCCCAGAGAGCCCATGCTCTCAGCTTTGTTGGATTTTAGCTAATTTGCTGAAAATAAGTAAATAAATGCTATGCATGCACACAGCTGTGCAGCTGGAATTTTCCAGCTACAACAAACAGGAGCAGCTGAGGGCTTCATGGATTGGTCTCCTTTTAACTCTGTTGGCTTACTTTAGCCATTTTGTCATTATCCATGTGAGAATTCAGTAATGTCTGGCCCCTGGCATTCAAAGACAGAGTCCACTGCTGGTTTGCTGTTTGCAGTCGGAGCACGGTGCAAGATCTGACCTGGTCCAAGAGGCACAGGTTTCAGTGACCCAGAGCTCAGATTGATGCAACCCATGCTGTAACACACCTGGTTTCCTAATGGGGTGCTTCAAGACCTGACATTTGAAGCAGGCTGCCCTAGTGAGATTGGTGGTGGTGAGAAAGGGAACTGGAGTTCTGGGGCTTATCCTGGGCTCCCACTTACACAGTGCAGGCATTGGCTCCCACTTTGTCCACTGTAGGTCGCTATGAAAACAGATTCAGGTTTTTCATTTAAGACTGATGCAGCACAGTACTGGTTATTTAGATCTAGTCAAATACAGAATGGCTTCAGGTTATTTGAAATGTTGTGCTTTTTTCCCTCAATTACAGTTCCTAGTACTTCTTTATACCTATTTGTCTGCCCCCTCCCTTCTACTGTTTGCATCAATATTCCATTATCAGCTGCTTTTGCTGGCAGACACTAACCCTGCTTCCAAATTGTCTTCATCAAGGGAGGACAACTGTTTCAAGGAGATTCAATTCACAGTGTCAAGCACCAGCAAAGAAGATTTAAAACCAGGGGAGGTGACTGATTTAGGGAATCAAATCAAAAGCCCCAGTAACATAAGTCTAGATGTAATGAGCTGCTTTTATTCCTGACTTCTTTTTCAGGGGATGTGAAATGTTTTGGAGAGGATTGTTATGCACTGGCTTTTGGTGTCCCAGCAGCACTGATGGTGTTGGCACTTGGTGAGTGGAAATAGGAGTTACCAGTTTTGAGTCTGTGGACAGATGAGAAAATGCACAAATTCACTAATTCTGGATGGATACTGTGATGGGAAATGAAAGGGTTCAAGGTCACCTAACAATTCCCAGTTCAGAACAGCAATAAATAGCAGTAGTTGATGGATGGTGGGTTGAGCATGGTTTTACTGTTATCTTTTATTGTGATTCTGTTAAGAGGGTGGTCTCATGGATGTTTACAGTATAATTGCTTTGCTCTAATGCAAAAGCACCAAAATGATTCTCCTGATGGCTTGCAGCTTTGCCTATGAGCAGACATGGCCTTTGAGCTGCAATCTGAGCAGTCCTTAGAGATCCCCAGCTTATAGAACAGAAGCTTAACATGGCACTTCTAACCTTTCCATGGGCTTCCTGCAGCTCAAGGCCATCTTCAATGGCTCAGACTTCTGCTGCTGAATCTGTGTGCTGCAGAAGGAGCTAGATGAGATGTTAGTTTGTTCTGAGCTGTCTTACTTTGCTTGGCTGAAGTAATTCCCACAATTGCAGTGACAACTTATTATTATGTTGCAATAAAAAAATCCTTATTGTCCAAGTGTCAGGAGACAGCCACAATCCCTGTGCTTCTTAACACTTGCATCTTAACCCCATTAATGTACTTGTCAAGATTTCTTCTTCAATCTTTATAAAACATTCAACAATCTCCCCATTTTTAATGTTACTCCTTTGGTAGCCAGTACAGAGGACACCCCATCAGCTTTAGTATCACAGCTGCAAGCTCTGAGAAGACCAGTTCCCTTATTATACTACATGTGTGAGCTTTTGACACAGCATGGGGTGACTTCTCATTCCGCTGGTTACCTTCACTGAGAGACCAAGCAGTTGTGTGATTTCACTGCAGCATCTGGGATTTGAAAAGTTTGTCCCCCAGAGAATGTGAATGTTGCTGTTTCCACTCAAATTTCCATCAGGGAGAAGAATCAGGAAACTGAAGAAATGTTATCAGGCCACAGCTAACATTGCAGCAATTATTTTCAAAAAAGTGCATGGTCACGGGCCTGAGAAGGTTCTATTTTCCCCTGTGGCCTGTTCCTATCAGTTTAGGGCCCCACTGTGTGCACCATGCTGTGCTGAATGTTTCTAGCACAGCAGTAGTTGCCCAGGGGAAAATGAACGTGTAAATATTGCAGTTTCAGTGAGGGCATTGGTGGAAATGTGTTTTTAGCTAGTGTCCTGCTGCCAGATTCCACGTCCTGCCTGGCAAAGCAGCTCTCTGTTCTTTTGTAACATGCTAAAATGCTCTGGGAAGTGATATATTTGACTATGTGAGTAGCATGCAGAAGTGGAGAAAATACCCTTTTGGCCCTGACTGGCACTCTCCCTGTGTTGCAAGGGATAGCAAGGATAGATTTAGAGGCAGATTTAGAGCAAGATTTTCTGGGCTGCTACTGCTCCTGAAGGATGGGGTAGCTTGATACCATTTAATTCCAAATTCTAAACCTAAAGCAGGAACATAAGCTCCCAAAGGAGTCAATGGCATCACCAAAAGGTGTTCAGCAAACCTAATCACATTTTTAAAAGCACGAACATTTTCACAGGGAAATGCTTAAAATTACGTAGTGCAGCTACCCACTCTGGGTGACTTGCACAAATGCAAAGTGCTACTCACCTAAACTGACTTCAGAGGTGTCTCAAGTTCTGCAAGTCAAACCTGGGTGCTAAAAGTCTTCATAATCAGGTAAAAGCAAAGGTGTGTTCCCTGCAGTGTCTCAGGCTTCCTGTGTTAGGACAGAAGTATCTGCTATTCTCTATTGCCTATGGATTGACCCAGACAACTGGGTAGTTTTAAAAGCTCAGGTTAGTTAATTATATGGATTTCATGCTCAGTTTTAAGGTGCTTCTCCCCACTAATCTCTTTGGAATTCCAGTGTCCTCGAAGACTCTCATAGAACTGGATAAATGATACACAATCAGGTAACTCCATCTCTGACAGGATTTTGCAGTCTCATTCTGATATTCTTTGTGCTTTGAGGGAGAAAACCAGGATAAAACAGTATCTTAAATTGTATATCCCTTTGTGGAAACCATAAATGGAGGTAATTTCTGTTAACATCTCTGTGTGAGGCAGGGATCTTTGGGCAGTTTCCATTGAAATGTGTGTGAGATGCAAGTGCACAGGGCCTGTGCTGTATCTGGATTAATCCTCACAGGTTTCCAGTGGGTGAGGGTTGATTTCCAACATCAGGTGCAGCAATTAAATGTGGATTGTACTATAAGTTTCATCTACAAAAAGCATAGACAAAGTGAATTTTCAAAGTTTTGTTTCCCAGAGTGAATCAGATGTGGAGGTGCCTATTGTGCCAGAGCAGATATTAGGACAGTGGTGACTTTCTAGGGATCACACTGCCTCTTGTAGGATGTTGCATTTTCTTCCATCTGTAGGCATTAAAGGACTCCTGTATATTCATTTAGTTGGAAGTGCAATCCTGTGTGCCCCAAGGGCAGAGCATTTCTGTTGAATACAGGGGTGGGTGATCCTTCCCTGAAGCCAGTGCAGGATTGAGCTTCAGCCATGCGAATCCACATTTGGATAATATTTTTTTTTTTCAGTTGTGTTCATTGCTGGAAGTGGACTGTACAGAAAAACACCACCACAAGGAAATGTCTTGCTGGAAGTGTGCAAATGCATTGGTGTAAGTGTGTGTAATTTTCTTTTTCATGTGTGAGTCAGAGGTTGCAGGACAAAAAGATGCAAAGAGAAAGGGGAGGTGACTTTTGGAGTTCTTCTCTATGCTGCTTTGGGATGTCTTGCTGATGAGCTGTAAGGACTTAGAAACACATTTAGGTCCTAGTTTATTTTTTCATCTTTTCAATTGTTTTCCCTTAGCTCCACGAACTGTTCAGTTGATGTCCACCTAATAGAACCACAAGTGGCAGATGCTGGTGGAAACTGAACTGAAAGGAAAATTCAGAAACTCAGAGAGTATCAGATATATGACTTCCTTTTTATTCAGTTGAATAATTTTTCTGAACTTTATCAGTTCAGCAGACAGTAATAGCACACATTCACATTATGGACATTCAGCATGTTCATGTAAATGCAAGAGACACTTGCTGAAGTTGCATTGGAGCCTTATAAATTGTTTTTCATGGTGTGTGAGCTGAATACAGTATGTGAAAAATACTCTCTTATTATTAGGTGGATAATGATGTTTCTATTTCAGGAAGCTGTTGCTAACAGCAGATGTTTTCTCTTTATCTAGGTCAGTCCTAGTGCCAAATTTACCTTGGGGAAACAGGCAGGATCTTAAAGACAGGATTTCTAAGTGAGGTCTGCCACTTTTTTTGTCAGTGTGTTCAGTGACTGGAGCACACAGCATAAACAGGCCAGGAGCTGGACTTCAGTGACCCTTGTGGTACCCTTCCAACTCAGGATATTCTAAGATTCAGTGATTCTCTGATTCATTGCCCCTTCATACCTTTAATCAACCGGTGTCATAGAAACTTCCCTGCAGATAATTCATCATAAAGCCTCCAATCTGAGACTTTAGAGGTATCCAGCAACCCACCCCCTCAATGTTCTGGCACTACTTACATTTGGACATGGGGAAGGTAGCCTTGAGTTGGGAGTGTGACAAGGGCAGGTATGGCATGAGTGAGTTACTCACCTGTTTTTCTCCCTAGTTTGCTATTAAAAACCGGCTGAAAAACCGCTCCCCTGAGATTCCAAAGAGAGATCACTGGCTGGACTGGGCTTCAGAAAAATACTCAGTGAGTGATGCTCTTCCTGGTAGGTTTGGAGTGGGAAGGGGGAGATAGGCAGACAGACAGGGGAGAGAGTAGGACTAGCCTGGCCACACCATTCCTCACATGCATTTTCCTGTCCCTTCCCACATCTGTACTCTCCTGACCCTTAATGGACGGTTTAGGTGCTGCACTGAAATTTAGAAATGCAAACATATCCCATGTCACAAGGAAGAGCAATGGAGAACTGCCATGCAGAAAGAAATAGGAGTTATGCTTTGTGGCTTGAATCACCTTTGGGCTTTACACCCCTGCCTTACCTTTTTGCCTGTTCCCTTTTAGAAACAGCTGATTGGGGAGGTCAAAATGGTGACTCGTGTTCTCTTCCTCTTCATACCACTGCCAATGTTCTGGGCCCTGTTTGATCAGCAGGTACAGTACAGTGGGTACAGCTCTGCCTGCCAGCCTTGGTTGGCACCTCTGTCCTTTTGGGGTAATTCCAAAGCATCCTGGGGACACAGCACGCCATATTCCTACCAAGTGTCCAGGGCCTTCCACCCTGGTCAGCCCTTCAGAGTCCTGCCAGGTGTCTGGCACAGGAGAATAAGAGGGGAGAATGTGCCCTGCCTAATGACAAGTGTTACAGGGAAGGGAAGGAATAGATGGGAAATAAGACCTCCATCACTGTCATCTTCTCTGTCTCCGTGTTTTCTAGCCCCATAGAACATCTTGAAGGCTTCACTGCTGTCTGTTTTCTCTTTAGGGATCCAGGTGGACTTTGCAAGCCACAAAAATGAATGCTGATTTTGTAAGTACTTAATGTCATCAGGGCTGGTAAGACTAGTAGTAACATCCCTGCTCTTGCTTATTAACCGGAGTCTTGCAGTACTAAGAGCGTCTGCTTGGTGAATCTGGGTGAGTCTCACTTCTGGTGATTAGAAGCCAGAGGCTCTGTTCATGCAGCCATGTTCAGTTCATCACAGCTCATCTCAGCTAGAAGTGAGGGCTGGGGAGATCAGCAGCCTACAAGGTCAGGGGTGCTGACCTGCTGGCAGCCAGTGGCCCTGTGACCTAGAGCAGGTAGGATTTTCAGCCTGCTGCCCCCATGGAAGGCAGACAAGTCACTCAGCCCTTTTAAGGTGTGACTAGAGCTGTTGTACATTTCTGCACTGGATCACTTGGTGATACGTTAATGAAGCCTCTCAAAACCAGCAGGAACCTTGTGTATATGTTAAAGATGTGATAGGGATTAATTAGCTAGTTTCCATAAAGGTCTTCAAAGGTGTGAATGGCTACAGTAGCAGATAAATGTAGATCAGCTATCTGCCCGAAGGTGTCCCCACACTGGGCTGTTTTTCAGCCCCATATGTGTTTTAATAGGCCATCTAGATCTGTTTAGACATACATGTTTTAACAGGCCATCTAGGTCTTGCCTGCAGATGCTCACATCAAAATCTAGGATTTTAAGTGTCCATTTTCCAGTTTAAAATTGTCTTAAAGCCACAAATCTGAGACCTTCTATGTCACTCCTGTTAAATTTGGGCTCTCAATATGTGATACTCATTAGGCTTAATTAGTTCAAATGAGGCATGAAAAAGACTACACCTTGGGTAATATTTATCCACCTCAGAAAGACAGAACAAAGTCCATGCAGTCTATGTGATGTATATCTAAAACATTAGTTTTCTGGTGTTTTGCTCACATGCACTTAGTGATCCATTAGCAGGAGAGCTAAGTATCACCAGGTGTCACTACTGGCCTCTCCCAGGTGAGGAAAGATAGATTCAAGGCTTTTTTTTTTTTTGTCACACCAACTTGGATAGCTCCTTGGCTTTTGTTTCAGTCTCCTCTGCTCTCCCCTCTTGAGCTGCCCCACCTCAAGAAGGTGAAAATTAACTGCAGCATTGGAATGATCCCACCCTTAGGCTTGTTGAAGTTCATGTTTGTAAAACTCAGTGACTTTCAGTTCTGTAGACAAGGGCTCAGCTAGGAAGTCTGGAATCAAACAGGGAATGATTTAGTGTCAGATGAAGTATTTGCAGGCTCATTTCCTAATGGCACATTTCTATAGTGTGTGCAAAGTAGCAGGAGGGGGTATTTGCCTGGTATTTTTCCACTCTCCCAGGATGCAGCTGTGGGCAGAGACAGGCAGCCAGTCTAGACTCTGCTCAGGGCAGGACTGGCAGACAGGAGAGAACCCCCCAGTATTTTCTTGGAAATACATTATTTCCTTCATAATTTCTTCCCTCCTGCACTCTTCCCCCTGACCCTGAACCCTTCCCCCCCATCTTCTTCATCTTAATTTCAAATGAAAAGCATTTAATGGAGTTCAGAAAACCACCAGTCCCTCCCTGGAGACAGGTCCATGGTTCCTTTTGGAGTTTGGGATCCCTCATCCATCCATTCCTGTTGACCTTGCCCATTTGTGGGGCTGGGATAGTGATGCAAGTGTGAGGCATCTCTTACAGCCCTGAGGACTCCTGCCTCAAACCTAGAAGTTGCAGTTGTCCAAAGCCTCTTAGATGCAGATGGGGGGAGGAAAGAGGTGTTTGTGCAGCCCACTGGCTCAAGGATGGTCTTCTATTATCCTTTGGGGAACCTGGGAGAAATCATGGGGTCCTGAAGCTTGGGAACACTCACTTATAGGATTGGGGCTTTTCGCTTCATAGAAGCAGGGAGGGAGGAAGCTGTAAGCCTGCCTCCCAGCTTGGACACTTAACACCCCCATCCTCTTCCCCTCACCTAGTTCATGGCTCAGCCAGCCTGAAGGATGGGCCTCAGTGCCTGTCACAAGCTGTGTCACAGTTGCCAAATACCAAGGATTGAATGCAGCTTCCTTCTGCAAAATGATCTTATTAAACACTGTGTCCTTAGACAAAAAGTGTCAAGAACACAATATCAGCTGCTAAAGCCAACATAAAGCATTTGAGGAAACCACCTTGGCTGCAAAGGCCTCTCTGGGACCGATTACTTATTTACCATATGCACTGATATGTTATAGTGTTTATGAATCACTTGGACTGTCTTTTTGTTTCAGGGAATATATGTCCTTCAGCCTGACCAAATGCAGGTAAAAGATATTACAGGGTAGGAAATAACCCTTTGAATGTATCTTCTTCTTTTCTCTCATTTATATTTTTCTCATGGGACCAGTGGCCATTCTCCGCTCCTTTTCAAGGTGATAGCAGTGCTCCTGCTGCTTGCTGTGGTGTGGCTTCTGCCTTATTGTTGACAGGCTGCTTTGCAAGCCTGGGGTTCAGAAGACCCTGACGATGTCCTAATGCAGAAATTGACTCCTGCAGAACAGTGCAGAGGTGTGGGGTAACATACCACCATAATAATTCTTGAGGTAGTGCTGGCATGTGGAGAATACAACCTGTACCTCCTTTTAACCGGCTCCTGTCCTGGGATGAACGTTGTTCTTGAAATATGTTTGGTTCCTCCCTTTCTGCAGGGGAGATGAAAACATGAAAGCAAGATGGTGCTATGTTGTCACAGTTGATTACAATTCTTATGGTGAATAGCTCTGGAGAAATTCAAAGCTGTTCTGTTCCCTGAAATCTTCCTTTGGAACTGAAACAACATTTCTCCCTGCTTGTTCTTCATTGCTCTCTATTTTCTTGCTTTGCCACTTCTGGCTGGCAGACAAGCTGTGCCCCTACCGGGAGAAACTTTGTTCCTGGGGGATTACTTGGTTGTGTTGAAGTGTGAGAAATTGCCAATCTCACAGAATAGTGCCTGTTCCTCTGGGATTTTGCCCAAGATGTTTCCATTGTTGCTTATTTGTTGTAAGGTCCCACCACAGCACCAAAGGTCACCTGTCTCTATTGTCAGTGGGGTTTGTACTCTTTAAAAACATCATCTTTCAGTTCTCTCTCCAGGGAAACTGGGCCAGTGATGCTTTCTTGCCTCTTGGAGAGGAGGATATGAACAAAATATATTCATGCCTGTGAAAACTAAATAGCAGAAGCTGTTAAGTGCAAACTGTGATTATATTTTAAAAGGAGGTTTTAAGTGTTTGTCCGTGTCCCTTCTGTAATGGAATTATTTCTGGAGGACAGTGCTTTATGGGTTTAATTACTAAAAGTTGCTTTCTAGTCACTGAACTCCCATTCTTTTGTATTGCAGTTCTTAAATCCACTTCTTATTCTTGTCTTCATCCCAATTTTTGACTTTGGGCTCTACCCCCTGATAAACATGTGCAAATTGAATTTCACGTAAGTACTTGGGGACAGTGCAAATACACCTGTGCTTTTTCTTTTGCTGTAAATGTGCAGAATAGCTTTTAAGGAAGAGAAACACAAATTTCCATTCACCTTTCCCAATACTTGAGTATACTTCAGTCCCAAGAGGCAGCATCACCCTCTTCCACAGAAGGGAGTGACTAATTTCCCCATGGAAATGCCAGAGGGTAAAACTCAATGTTGGATTCTGCTCTGTACAGATTTTTCCAAAAGCAGATACGAGTAGTCTCATTTTGAATTTGATCAACGTGTTTTCCGCCTTGTTTCCCAGGTCATGCCTAAATAATTCCCTCCCTGAAAAGTCCCCATGGGACCAAATTCATGGTCCCATGCCGGCTAGGATCTTCTACATGAGCCAAGCATTTTATCCTTAGTCTATGTTGGCAAGAAGTGCAGTGTAATAGGAGCAGACCTCAGGTTGTTTATGAGACCCACTTTATGCAATTTGTGTAAATTAACTTCAGAGTATCTGTATTCTGCCTCTGTGGACTGATGCCCTGTAGCAGTGCAAGTACATTATGTGCACTCTTGGAGTGCCTTTGTCAGTGGAATTTCAGCTGAAAGGACACAAGTTTCTATGCCCCAGCACCACTTCTGCATGTGAGCCATAGCATGGGAAAGGGTAATGAGTGGGGTGACTGGCTTAAAAAGCATATTCCAAATCCAAACTAAAATGCTGGACAGACAAAACCACATAAAATGGGGGTGGCAGGTGCCTCAGAAACCTTCCCCTTCACCCTGCTGGTGAAGGGGAAGGCTTTCCCACCATCTGAATTACTTGCACCTGAAGACATATCAAAAATATTGTCCAGCCCTGCAGTGGTGCCCCTTTTGGAGGATACACATCAGAGCCTGTGCTTCTCCCTGATACCATTGTGAGCCCACAGCCTGGACTGTGCCTTGACTTGGCAGAAAACTTCCTGATCCAGAACCAGATTTGTCTCAAATCTCAACAACTCAATACTCATATTGAATCTGCTGTTCTGGACATGAATTATTCTGATTTATATCAGATTTTCTCACGTAATTCTGGTAAAGTTGCACTAGCTTTGCCTTGAGTTTAAAGGAAAGATCTTTATTTCCTAGAAATGTAAATGTATTGGCATGAGAAATAACCCAGAATGATGCCCCAGATGGTCAGAAACATTGAGGACATAAACTACACATTTTTCTATTCCTTATTCCCACTGCTAAATAGAATGTTACTTTTCTTTTGCCTTTCCCAAAAGGGACTTGAAGATACATAATTTCTGGCGCTCCTTCCAACATAAAGTCATGAGCTATTCCCACTAGAAGAGCTGGGAAAAAGATAATATGAAACTTGCAAGGAAGGCACTTCTTTTCATGGCATATCAGTTTTAATTGGCCTCAGTGAGTGCTGGCCTCATGCAGAATAATAAAATAGTTTTAAGTTAAGAGATTGGCAATTTAAACAGCCTGTCATCCTGAGTGCCACCTGTCGGACAGTTTATTACATGGTTCTGGCACATCTTTGCCTCTGAGGAATGGTATTCTATAGTTTAAGTCACTTTTTTTTCCTTAATGGCACCTCTTTCATTTGCTCCATAGACCTATTAGGAAAATGGCAACAGGTATGATCCTTGCAGGGCTGGCGTTTGGACTTGCAGCCATTATAGAAGTCAAAATAAATGTAAGTAAAGCACAAGGCATTCCTCAGAAATACTTTCTTTCCATGGGTTGTTATTAGTGATGTCTGGTAGATAATCCTTTAAGCCATTGTGCTCCTTGATCAAAGTTTGTAATGTTTTCTTTACAACTGAGCATACTGATCCAGTTGCTAATGATAATTCTTACCTTGTCTACTTTTCCCTCTCTTTGTCTCTGTGTCTTTCTTTCTAGTCTTTGCAGTTTTGCTGTGCTGGTCATCTGTATTGGTCTATATTCTAGATTTCCATCGTCAAAGTGCTTGACAGACATCTAGTTAATGCTAGTGATTAATTTCCAAAAGGTAGTCTGTTCTCTCTCCTATTTCTTGCTGTAGCTTGCCTATACTTTTCTGTTTGGGGTCTTTTGTGTGTGTGTGGTGGTTTTGGTTTTTTTATTTAATTGTTTTAAAATTTTAAAATGTAATCACTTTCCTGCTTTATGATGGGGATGGCTTTTTTTACAAGCCAAAGTGTTTCTCTGGAAAGGCAGGTGAATGCTGACACAGACATCAGGGACTGCCAGGCATCCCCAGAGAGGATGGCAGCACATCTCTTATAAATTCCATGTTAGCTCCTGCAGATTTGTACTGTTTGTTTCTGGTTCATGACCAGCATTGTGTAGACTTTGGCTGACCTTTGTCTCACAAAAGTTACTATAGGATTAATTTTTAAAGCTTCTATGTATACTTAAAACGTTCTGTTAGAGTGGCTGGCTCACAGCCCTGGATTAACATCTGCTGGTTCCTCAGGTGAATCCCCTAACGAGCCTCCCACTGAAATGAGACTGTGTGGGTTCAGGTCTTTTTTCTGCTCTCTTTATGTGAGCAAAGAAATGCTCTCATTGCCACCACCAGAATCTCTGGCCAAGTGCCAAAGTTTGCTCTGGCTGGGGGTGAAAGGTTCCCTCTGCCTGTGCATGAAAATTTTACCCTAAAGGCATTTTAAGATCTAGCAAAGAGGAGGGTAAGATGGTCCACCTTCACATGACTGTGGGTAGCAGAAGTGAAAAGCTACAGAAATGGAATTTGCTGGATAATATTATCTGCCTGTTGGTCCAGAGCAACATATGGATACAAGGAAATCAGCTCATTCTGACTTCTTTGGCAGTGTGTCTCCCCACCCAGTTAGGTTCAAAATGCCGTGCCTGCAATACCCAAATTATCAGATAAGATAGAAGAAAAATAAATAGCTCTGCAGTATTGCTTGCAGCTACTTGAAAATAAAATGAGAATAAAAGAGAAGTTAAAAAAAAAAATTAGCTCTGCAGGTAGTACAAGGCTGACACTGATTGATGTACTCTTTCTAGGAAATGGTTCCTGACAGAAGGAGATACCTCAGTGCTGGAGGCATCAGCTTACCTCTCTCAGAAAACAAGGAATAATATCTATACAGTCAGCTGTATAGATAGCAAGGTCCAGTAATGCAAAAGCACTGATTACAGACATGAAGCTGGACTGGGATTTTCAAAACTACTTAACTTCTGGTCTGATTCTTTTCCCAGTCACTGACTGCAGTGGGAAATAATTATTCTTGTCACTGCTTTTGAAAGCTAAGCACAAATTTTTTCATTCTGATATGGCAGTTGGTTAAATCCAGGCATGAGGGAGCTGTATAATCAAAGTTGTGACATTGTTCTACCTCCTCAGTAGGTGTGCAGTCTGTACACTTAGTGGTGTGAAGAGCAATTTTTGGGAGGAATGATGGGTTGGCCATTGAGCTACTATGAGGAAACCTCCCTAAAAATGATTTATGTTCAGTTTTCTCTGAGTGCAACTTCTGTTGAGGAAGGGATGGAAAAGTGTCATTACAGAGAGGAAGACTATTATGGCTAAAAATGAAGAGATATTAACGTGCTAATAAAGCATACAGGTGGCACTTAAAGCCTTTTACTTTAATTAGGAAACCGATATGCCTCGACTTGTCCCAAAAGAAAGTTTAATTCGGGTCCTGAATTTGGCAAAGAACCCTGTTCAAGTGGCAATCCAAGATAAGGACCTATTTCAGCAGCCTGTGGAGTCTTTTCAGGTAAGCATATATTTGGGACTGAAAGGCCTGACTTGCATGTCATTGAAGAAAGGATGGAGATTTTTACAGGCATTTTCTAATAAAGCCCACAGATGCAAAAGCTTGTTCTGCTCCATTGCCTTAGAAGTGCATGGGAATAGCTTTACAAATGAAGCATAATATCTCTGTTGTATGAAACAGAAATTGAACATTTGGAGAAGAATTTCCCCAGCAAAGGATACACCTTACATTCACCTGTAATTAGGAATAGAGGATAACAGGATTACAGACTCCCTTAAAGAGGGGATAGTGTTGCACCTGGTGGGAAAATACAAATCCTTTCTTATCTGAAGAAAGTGTAACCAAGTTTATTTTCTTCCACAGAACCCAGCTGAGTACTCAAAATTAATATTGAATGGAGAGCAACAGAGCCTTCACTTCACCCTGCAACATCAAGCATTGACTCTTGCTTTTAACTACACCGTGAAGGAAAAATCAGTATACAGCTTAATTGTTTTTGAGGCAGAAGGAAGCCTATCAAGCCGCTTAGTGAGTGTGGGAGTGAAGTGTAAATACAGTATTAATTCAATGGCTGTGATGCTACAATGGGGTGATAGGCTCATTAATTCATTTGCTCAGTTGCAATGTCTGTCTGATTGCTCTCAGATGGTCTAAAACTCACTTCTTAGCTAGAGGCACTGGATCTGTACACATTTCTGCTGGTTGATTAATAGAGGCGTTGTGGCATCTGAGAGTTTCTGGGCACACTTTAATCCACTGAGTGCTGCAGTGGGAGAGCAGAGTCATGCCTGCTAGGCAGCAGAGCTGGAGAAAGCTGGGGAAACAGAGCCAGGGGTTTTCCCCCAAGATGGCTCTATAAAGCAAAGATGTTAAAGAGGCTCTAGGGCTGGCCATGGAATAAAAGCATCAGAGGAATGATTCTGGGATTAGTTATTGCAAGTGTTTAGTGAAAAAGCACAGAAGGCCCATTTGTTTTGCTGAACAGAATAAATGATTAAGCTCATTTCAGGCTCTGCAGCAGAGCTGGCTGTATTTGGACTTTTGTATATTTCTGCAACAATCAGAGAGGGGCATATGGGATGTATAGGGCAGATTCTGATACCTTTTATGCATAGCTGTATCCTAAGAAGCTCTCTTGAAATTCATGGTGTTATTGCACATTGTGGCAGGTGTGTAAATGCCATCAGAATCTGTCCTCATGCTAAAATATCCATTCTCTTTGCAGTTCCTGAGCCTTTTACCTTGCAGGGTAGCCATATCAAGCATTCAATATTATATAGTAGAAACCATATAACTTTTTTTAAATTAATTTAAAGAATTTATTTTGTCATAGCATCAAGATTTTTTGCTGATGATCAGACTTTTTGATTTGGAGTCTGGGGCTCAATAGCACACAAAGTTTCCCTGTGACCCTGAAAGCTGTGTGCTTTCTTTAGGAAATGGATACTTGTGATTTTCATGCAGTCTTTAAGAAGCAAAAGCCTTCAACAGGTTTGGAGCATAGCAATCTCAGAGCTCCAGTACATCTATGCTGCCCCAGCTGTCTAGACTGTGCTTAAATTAATGCCCACCCTGGCACAGGCAGGCTCTTATGTGCTAGGAAACATCTGTGCTGTTGGGTGATGCTATTGACCTGTCATTCACAGCTCTAGATAAGGGAGATGTGGAAGACAGTGTGATAAATGATACTTTTCCAGCATTGCAACACAAGGAAAACAGTGCCAGCATCACTGCTGTGTTGCAGGGCTCACCCTCGAGTTACCTCCCTCACTGCTGGGTTGGCCCACTCACTCAGGTGGGAGTGCTTTCCTGGAAGAATCCTATCTCAAATTGGTTTCTTCTCCTTTGTGGGCTGTTGAGTAGGCAGGAAATGAATTTGAGAGCTCTGGGGATCATCAGTGAAAACGAGTAATAGTTTGGCTGGTCTGTCTGCAAGGAACGAGAGTATTCATCCCCATGTGTCTCCCATGGAAAAAAAATGACGTTGCCGTTTATTATTTATTGCTCTGACATTTATTATTCACTGTGGCTATTTATTATTTAGGGCATATGTTATTTGTGGGTAGCATATTACTCTGAAGTACAATAGACATTAATAGATATACTGAAATTCTGGATCCCTGGTCTCAGAAACTCAGGGGTTTGCATCAGGAAAAAAAGTGTGGAGAAAGGGCCAGAAAATTTTGAGAGAGAGCCAGTTTCTAAAGTCCCTCTTGGCTTGCCTGGGTTCCATCTGTGGGCAGTGCAAATTGAAATTGCCCTGCCATCTTCAGTGGACATGGCACAGCTCTGGATTTCTACCAACCAAGAGCTTTGCTTTGTGTTCTTTTTTTGTGACATACAACCTCCAGGGCAGGGCTGTGACTTAACTGTGTTTTTTCAGTGTTGTACACCAAACAGGTTTCTCCAAATGAGTGTCAATTAACTATCTAGCTGCTGTGCTAGCTGTGGTCTCCAGGAGAGACACTCTCACTCCCCAGTGTGCCCATCCAGATGGCCATTGCAGGGACCTGTCTGCAGGGATCTGCACAAACCAAGCGTCTTGGTTTCTCCTACTCTGTGCCTGCATATTAAAACAGTTTAATCTCTTGAGTATTGAGGATCAGGGAAAGCATGAGTGATGCTTTGATCATCAGCATAGTAACCTAGCAGTTCCTCTCAGCTTTAGACTTCTGTGAAGTCTATGAATATGACAAGAATCAGGGTCTGAAAGTTAGGCATTTGGAGATTTTTTAGGAGTGATGCACTTAAGTTTAATTGTAAGTAGTCACTGAAAGATGCTAATGTGGATAATGCTCTCTTGCTAGCTCAAGATCAAGAAAAATACTTTTTTTGGAGAGTGTTACATGCCTCAGTAGAAGGGTGACTGGCTGAAACTCAGCAGCCTTTGTTACAGAAGAGATGAGGAGAAAAGGTATGATCTCATCCTAAGCCCTTGGAGGAGATGAAGTTTTGCCATTGGCTTCATTGTACCAGGGCTCCCCAGCTGTGGCCTGATGTAAAGCTTATGTGAGAGTCCAGTCAATTTCCACAGGCTTTGCAGTACGTGTGTAACTCTGCAGACACCACTGTTGTCTGCCACACATTGTAAGACAGCATTAATAAATATGTTTGATGTTTTTTTTTCTTCCTCTCTTTAGATTACAGACTTGGAAGCAAAGCCAGAAAATGGGTTGGCAGCTGTTAGGTAGGAATGGGGTTTTTTTTGAGGATTTGGCGGTGGTTGGGAGAGGGAAAGTGCTTTTGTCTAATGCATCTGTATGTAACATAGCCCAGATGTTCTCGGGTTGGAATCCAGTCCACACTTCTCATGCAAGACTTGGGTGTCAGCTGTGGAGGCTTGACAGAGTGTCACCTCCCACACATGCCATGCAGAGCTGAGAACTATTGCTGCTCACTGCCTAGGGTAGTCTGGGCTCTGATGGCAACATAAAAGAGCTCCTTCCTTGGAAAAGTGGCAAATTCATCTCCCTGATGAAAGGGAAGCAGCAATTTGGATAGGAACTGTTGCTATGTCCTTTGCAAATTGGCCAACCCATGATGTTCACCCAAACTCATGTACAAGTGTCTATTAAATTGGATGCAGCAACAATTTTACATCCTCATAAACAATTCAGCTGGGCATTGGACTCTGCTTAGTGCACTCTTCCTAATTTGAGCTATCCCATTTAGTCCATGAACACTCCTGTTCTGGTTTGTGCTGGCTGCTGAGGTGCAAAAGATGCAAATTTGCAAAAAAAACTTCAAAAAACAAAACAAACCACCAAACCAAAACCAAACAGACAAAACCCAAAAAAACCCCCAAAGACCCCAAAAAACCAGAATTCCAGCTAGACTTTCTAGAGGATTTGGGCAAGGTGAAATTAGAAAAAAAAACCAAAGCAACAAAATGAACCCACCACAAAATAAAAACAAAAAACCAACCAAACAAATAAAACCTTAAAAATCAATGTCCAACCCCTTTATCTGAAAACCTGTATAAACAAAGTAGGAGAGCAGTATCTCTTCATAGCCCTGTACTTGTGAAGGTTTCTATTGACTAAACACCTTGAAGACTTGATTCAGTCAGAATTTTTTTTATATTTTCTTGGGGAGATTTTTGACCAAATCCCCAGACTTCCCATTTAAGAATTTGTAAAGAAGTTTCACTAGGAGGAAACTATTTTTGCACTAAAACTTTACTTTTGTTAAGCGCTTGACTAACTTCAGGGATTTCACCCCTACTTAAAGAGCTGAAAAGCAAAATATCTTAAAACATAGGTCAAATGAAAAGCATTTGGTTTTACTATCAGTTTTTGAATTGCCAAAAGGAAACTGTCTTTTGTCTATGAAAAAACAGCAAACAAACTGTTCCCATATAAGTTTTAGTTTTGATGAAGATATCTTATCATGCTGGAAAACTCCTTGCTGCTGGTAGAGGCTGCTTCTTTGCCAGCATGGTGCACCTGCTCAACAGGATGCACAACTTCAGAGTTTCCTGTGATCAGCTGAAACTCTGTCCCCTCACAGAGCCGTGGAACAGTCACCATAGTGTCACAGAATGGTCTGGGTTGGAAGGGACCTTGAGATCACCTTGTACTAACACCCCTGCCATGGACAGGGACCCCTCCCACTAGAACAGGTTGCTCAAAGCCCGATTCAACCTGGCCTTGAACATTTCCAGGGATGAGGCATGCACAACTTTGTTGGGCAACCTGTTCCAGTGTCTCACCACCTTCATAATGAAGAGATTCTTCCTAAAATCTAATACAATTTAACTCTACCCTCTTTCACTTTAAAGGCATTCCCCCTTGTCCTATAACTCCATACCCTTTTAAGAAGTCCCTCTCCAGCTCTCTTGCAGGACCTCTTCAGGTACTGGAAGATGCTCTTAGGTTTCCCTGGAGCTTTCTCTTCTCCAGGCTGAACAGCCCCAACTCCCTTGCCCTGTCTTCACAGGAGAGGTCCCTCAGCCCTCTGATCATCTTCATGGCCTCCTCAGAATTTGCTGCAATCTTTGTTGGTCTCTGAGACTGGATTGCCAGGAGGTTCTAGACCACAAAAAGTGAGGGTCAGTTTTCACAAAAAAGAGAGTAAGAGGGTAAACTAATGCAACAGGGAAAATAATCTTGTATTGAAAAACTAGGCAATGAATCAAACAAATATTTTGGTAACTTGCAGAAGAGACTCTCATAAACTTGTGGAATTACAGAATGCTTTGGGAGAATATGCAAACTTCTAAAGTGTCTGCTATTATGCTTCTCGTGCCCTGTGTGACAGGTCAATGAAATATGGTTTCTTTGCAGATTCGTTAATGCTTTGAGCCAAGATGTCAACCTCACCATCGATAGCAAAAGTTTCATTGTTGTTCAGAAAAACTACAGTGCTTCTGAGTACTCACTGCTGGAGAGGGACATGTAAGTCTCTCTTCCTGAGCTGAAGGTCCTTGCTGACGCACCTTGGGTACAGAGAATTTTCTCAGCCTAATAACAAAACCTGCATTGCTATTGTCTTGGCATGTGGTTGTGGGGGCAGATGTTTGTAAAAAGCAGAATTATCACCTCAGTGCAGAGCAGGTGCTCCGGGCCACTCGTGTGTGCAGAAGTTTTTATTCACATTATGTGGGGGCCTGGAGGGAAGAGACTGGCCATTCCTGTGCATCTGCCAGTGGAGTAAGGTGGAACATGGTAAAGTCTCCTCTGCCATTTAGTGCCTGCTTTATTTTGTTACTCTCTCAGGCCCAAGCTCCTCGTGTTATGGTTCTCTCAGGGAAAGGCCAGTTCATATTCCACACTACCAAGTGTTAGTATGTGGGCTGGTAACATCAAGTAGCATTACATGGCTTTGCAGGCTGGGCTTGTTAGACAGGGGCTCCATATGGCCTTGGTTTGGCAGCACTGGAGTTGGCTCTTGTAGGGTATTTCTAGCATTTCCAATGTTTCAAAACAAGCTTCATGGCTTTTCTCTGCATCAGCTCCATCCAAAATATTTATTGCTGCAATTTAGTAGGACGCAGCATCCATTGTGGCAATGCTACTGAGCTTCTGTGCCATCTCGCACATCCAAAATCAGAAGAACAAATATGAAAGCTAATTTGCTCTATTGAAAGGAAACAAAGTTGCTTCTGGGTCCATATCTCTGAGATCCTGTTGACTACTTGTCTGGCCTACATTTCCTGAAGAAATGCAGCAAAATTTCAGGGAGGGAAATAAACCTAAGGGGAGGAAAAAAATTACATCAGCGCTAAGAAAGAGCAGAAACCATTAAAAATGTTAGCAATGGCCTGGGTCATTAGGTGAATTCCAGTCAGTGCCCAAGTGCTTCTAGAAAGATAAGATAGCAAGAACTCCAGTGATTGTTTGATGTAAACGCTACTGTATTTTTACATCTTGCATCCTCCCTGCTCCATTTCAGGGGTGTGTTTGATAGCTCTGCTCTGTGTTCTTTGTTTGTGGAACTAACTGGGAAATACTGTCCTTCATCCTTTTATCTAGATATAATGATGGAAAATGCATAACTGAAACAGGAGAGTTCCCCCTGGAGCTGGGGCTGCTTGACTTTGGTGCCTCATACACTGTTGTGATAACTAATGTAAGTGTTCCTATGATGGTCACACACTCCTCTTCTACTCTCTGGTAGTGCTTTTGTTCCTGTGTTAGTGACTCTCCCGTGCTTTGTCCACTCTCTGATCCCTGGGCAGTAGCCCTCTGAAGGCAGCCTGTTATCAAAGGGATTGTGAAAAGTTTTGGTACCTACATTAGTGAGGTGGGTGTATATTTGTTCCACCTTACACTGTGATCATGTCAGACTGCATGGGTTAAAAAGAATTAAAATCTTTTCCTTGATAGAAATCCTCCATAGAAAATCATGTGATCTGTGGTTTGTGCTGGTCTCATGCCATCCTTGAGTAGTTAACATTGACCCAGAGCACTGCAAAGAGTTATTACCATCTGCCAAGAGCTGGCTCTGCTTGTGGTCTTTAAAATATTGTACCTGGTGGTGCCTCACACTCAAAAAAATTGCAGAAACAGTCTGCTCTATCCTCACATTTAGCTTACTGAACTAAAGTCTGATCTTCCAAGATTTTGTAGATTATGCATAGGGGGAAGAGGGACAAAGTCTTGAGGGAGGAGGTTGGTGAGGTTGTACATCTGTTTCCTCCTCTCACTGTCTGTACAGCTAATTTGGAGCCTAGTATAAAGTCAAGGCTTGGTTTTCTGAACAGCCTAGCCCTGATAAGGTCTGAGCACTTCTGAGAGGGTGGATTCCTTTCCCTGCCTGCCAACCTCTCAGACACACTGCTTCAACCCTGGTCCAGCTGGCTGGAGCCACAGAGATGAACGTGATCAGCTTAGTTCCCATTTTAACCTTTCCACCACAAAGGCACACAGACAAACTGGGTCTGACAGGACACACTGCTAAGCTGCCCTCTGGGACTTTGGCTGCTGTGTTGTGATGAGCAGAGCAAAGTGTTGTCAGCAACTCCCTGGCAGTAGCATCTCCCTGTTGGGCAATTAATGGGAGCTGTTCATGTCTGCAGAGTCCAAATACATCGGGGGAAAAATATAGCCATGAAGCACCTGGCATTTTTTTTTCCAATTCCAGTAGCTGGAGTGGGATGTACAGCCCTGGAGGGAACAAGCAGATGCTGCCATCTGTGAGTGCAGAGATTTATGTACATAAAACACACACACTTGAAGTGATGTTGGCCAGACCCCTCTCCCATGGCTGCAAGCCTCTTTCACCAGATGAGAAACCAGATAGGGAAGTTGCATTAAAAATATAACTCTAAGAAAATGGCCCCAGAGCCACTGGTAACAGGGCCAGCTGAGGTAAATGTGTCCCATGTCACTGTGCCAAGGATTCCAGTTTGTGGTTCCTGCTATAGCCCTGGCTGCTCAGGGTGGCTCTGTGCCTCAGCCCTTCCAAACCCTGTGCTAGTACTTCAATATTTTTCATCCTCTGTTTTTCCATCTCTCTCTCTGTGGTTTCTGCTTTCTGTAGAGAGTTAGTTTGCTTGAGGCCAAGATCACTTTTAATTATTGCAGTGATTTGTACTGAACCCTGCTCCTCTGCCAGGAGTGCCATATAGAAGAACCAAGAATACAATATATTAGTCTGCTAATGTAGCTGAACTGTGAAACTTAAATCATGGGGATGCTGCCTTCTACCCAGCCTTCCTCAGTGTGCAGTTACAGCATGGTGCTTGTGACATTTCTTTATGGGCTAAAGAGCAATGCACAGCACTCTTCTCACCCCTTTTAGCCTGCTGAAATACAGTCTCTTGATTTGCCTCCCTGGCAATGATTGGTGATTAAGAACATCTCGTAAACATCCCTTGTATTTTCCCAAGTACTCTCCTTAAACACAGGGCTTTCTGCCTGAAGTCATTTCAATCTAGTGTTTTCCTGGCTTCTAGTCAAATCTTTCTCAGCCTCTGAGCCTCTGTGCATCACAGGCAGTATTAATTACACCTGGGGAAAGAAACAAAAATAATTAGGAATACAGCTACCATAACTATCTGAATAGATCTAATATGGAGCTGTCTTTGCTACTCTTGGCATTCCTGAGCTGAATTTGTTTGGGTATCAATGATATCATAGGGAAGTTGTACAGTGCTGATAAGATGGGAGCAGTGACCACATGGATGCCATGAGCACTTACACCCTCTCATCCTTTTTCAACCTTGGGGACAGCAGCAGGTCACAGGCTCTGCACTGGAACCTCACAGGCTTTTCCCAGCCCCACTACAGAAGACAACTGGTTGGTTTGCAATAATTCAGGGAATTCTTGTGGTACCTAAATGAGCTGGAATGCTTCCATCCTGCTCTCTCTGCCCTGTGCAGGAGGAGTCATCCTATTCCCAACAGGCTTGAAAATGGCAGGGTTGAGAGCCATAGTTTGCTTCAAAGGCAGGGCTTTTTTTCCACCTTTGCTTAAAACTTTGTTTTTTGGTAAATTTGCTGCTGTTGTCCAGGCTAAGAAAGATCTGATCTTTCAGCAACTAATCAGTGTGCTTTTAATTTCCTGCTAGATTTCTGGAGGTGCTGTTGAGACTTGGAAGTCAGAAGACATCAAAGCCAACAATGTCCATATGGCCTGGCAGTTACCACAATATTTACTGATATCTGCTGGGGAGGTGATGTTCTCCATTACAGGTCTGGCCTTCTCCTATTCTCAGGTACTCCACTTAAAGATAACGACCTTACAATTAGACTTCAAGATTTATTTCTGCATCTGTCATTGACTTGTCATACCACTTTTGACATGACACTAACAATGTTATCTATCCTTCAGCTGAAAGTGGGATTGTAACACAGCTTTCTGGGTGCCCTGAAGCTAAATTAATTCATATTCCGAAGGTACCTGTTCTCAGTGATATTCAGAAATATCCTTTTCTGGTATGCCTGAGAACACAGAACAGAACTGGATAGTTAACGGGAAAAGTCTGAATATTTTTATATCAGGGTTTTCTCCTAGTGAAGTATTTTGTGCTATGTATTTTTCAGTGATATAAAGGCAAGGTATCTCAAGGGCTACAGGGTGGCATAAGAATTTGGCACCTGGTTTAAATTGAGAGACTGAAGGGGTCTAAACATGCAAGGTTGTAACAAGGGAGCAAGGGGTAATGAACCTGCAAGGGATGATTTTATTGTTGTCTGGGGAGGTTGATGAGAAGAGAGGACTGAGACATTACATGGTCAAACAGCTACTGAAGCTGCTCAAATCTATCCCTGGAGTAAGGTGCAGATGTTTATTAATGAGGATGATTAATGCAGTGGGATGATCTGTAATGGGATGTGAAAAATTTGTCCTCAGCAGGAAATTTAACATCAAGATCCAGTCTCTTTTCCAAAGGTGTACAGCCACATGGCACCAGATCCCAAGCTGCAGGGCTTGTGTGGCTCCTTGGACGTCCTGATGGTACCATTTCAGATGCTGCAGGTTGGGGATGACCCGGATTCAGCTCTGCAACACCAGCACCTCCTGCGTCTTCATGTGTTCTCCTGTCAATGTGTTGAAAGCTCCTTGTATGCAGATGTTGAGATTAACCACAGATTAACCACTCCACACAGAGGAAATTCCAGCATCTCCTCCTAGGCTGAGCCCAGTGGCACCTGCACTGGGCAGGACTGCAGAGGGTGAAGCAGGGCCGAAGGGCGCAGCGCGGTTCCCACTGATCAGGCCCTTCTCCTCTTTTCAGTCTCCAGCCAGCATGAAGTCGGTGCTGCAGGCAGGCTGGCTGCTCACCGTGGCTGTGGGGAATACCTTTGTGCTCATTGTTGCTGAGGCTGCACCAATGGCACAGGTATGGTTTGGCTCTTAAAACAGAGGTCATGCTTTGCAACAGGCTTCTGGTGCTTCTGGATGGCCATGTCCTGGTGCACAGCTTCTCTGCCCAGCCCCAGGCTCCTGCCCCTGAGCTGACAGCAGCTCACTCTGAGCTGTCCCCCTGCCCCTGCTCTGTGGGGCCCTCAGTGGAGCTCCCCTGGGGAGCACTGGCCTTCCCTGGCCCTCCAAGGGCTGGAAGTACCTGACCTGTGCTGGTAATGCTGCTGGAGCTCAGCTCTAGGCAAACTGGCTGTGTCTGCACCTGGAGCCTGGACACAGTGGCAGCCACACATTGAGTGCTCCCCAGAAACGAGACCCGTGGGCACTCAGCTCTTCCTCAGGGGTCTCACCTGGGGAATCCTGCCAGGCTGCCTGAGACATCCCTGAGATGTCAGGCTGACAGAGATGGTCGTGGTAGTTAAATTCAGGCTGTGAAACTTCTGGGATGATGCCATGAAGGTGTGAACTGGGGCTTATTTCTGGCCAGCATAAATCTGCCTCCCCAAAAGAATCTTGTAGGCAAAAAGCCCAGGTGGGTATGTTCCAGTCAGATTTGTAAGAACAGATTTAATGGAACCAACTCAATCTGTTTTGTTTCAAGAGGTATCACATATTTGTAATCACATTATTTGTACAAGCATTTACCAGAAAAGCAGGATGAGAAAGTTTCTATCTTGTGAGCCATTTTGGAAACTAAGAAATAATTTTCATCCAGCTCTTTAAAAAGCACTTGAAAGTGCAGAGATATCCTCCGGACTGAGAGTCTGGGGTCTCCTGACCTGCTGTTCTTTTTTCTTTCCTAGTGGGCTGAATTTGTCTTGTTCACTGTTCTCCTCTTTGCTGTGTGCATTATTTTCTCCATCATGGGATATTTCTATGTCAGTGTGGATCCAGAGGACCTAGAAGAAAAGGAAGAGAAGAGAGAGACCTCAAGCAGAGGAAACATGATTGGTCTTGTTACTCAGAAAACAAAGCTCTAACAAATCATGGGTTGGGATTTTTGTTTTTAAACTCAGTTATGAGAAGGTGAAAGAAGGGTGGGGACAGAGTTATTTTATTTTAGAGCATTGCAGTCTTTGTTACTCAAAATGTAACCACCTTATAAATGGGACCAAATGGCCCTATATAAAAACAATGGGGGTCCTGAAATCAGAACAAAACTCCCTGGGAAAGCTCCTCAGGTATTAAAAGCCCTTATTAGTAATTACAGTGTAATTTAAAACCTGCCCATCTTTTTAAGCATGGAATGCTTTCCTATGATTTTGCCTTAAACATATATTTAGGGCAGCAGGTAGGAAGGGTGGAAGGAATGCCATATGACACAAAAATCTGGAAATGTTATGAAAGAAGAAAGGAAAAACTAGTATAGGAATTAGGGAAGAATAGATGTTAGTGACTGAAGGATTTTTAATGCTATCATCAAGGACTGTAAGGGTTACACACAATCCCAAAGGATTTCATCATGTAACTCTCCTTATGAGTATTTCATCCCATTATTGCATGTTATGAATGGTTCTGATTTATGATTTTCACCTTCAGGCTCAGAAGTAATAACAGGGAATTAAATTCTGCAGGCTAAAATATTCCCAAAACACTGCTGACGAAGACAAGCATGCTGCCACCTCTCCCATTTTTCCCCTAGAAGTTTTTAACAACTGATGGTGTTCTTTGATTAGACATGATTAGAGAATTGCTTTATGCTTTCTTATTTCAGAATTCCAGACAGTTATTTGCCATCTTCCTATACATTAAGCCTTTATTGAGCATTTCCTTTTACAGCACCTGTCACTGCAAGTTAGGATATAGCTGATTTCTTATCTCATGCCTCAGTTATTCCCCACTGGGAGACAAGTTGCAGTAGTTTCTATAAAATTCCAGGCATCCTGCAGTGAGTTATTTACAAGGATGCACTTTATCATTTTTTCAGTCTGCAAGAGGAGACCATGGCATATGAGATTTTTCTTTTTCCTACTTGTTTGTCTGTCTCTACCAGACTTTGGATATAGCAATTTTATTGGAATTGTGATATAATTGTCTGATTTTCCTCAATTGCGTGAAGCTGTGATTTCATGTTCTGCATAGGAGTAATCCAACCACTGCTGATCTAGTAAAACTCCTGAGAGAGTCCCTGCCTTCCTCTGTCACTTCAAGGCCACAGTTGTAACAGGTCTGGCCTAATTTAAAACAAGGTTGTCAATAGGATCTTCAGGTTCACAGAGAATAGGTTTTAAATTATGCTTTCCTCTTCCATCTTGGCATTGGCCATAGGTGGTTGCTGATACTTTGATTCAGGAGATAAATAATACATGTTTAATTTAATTCCTGTTCAGGACAGTGCTAGGAAATACACTTAGTTTGACACCACCTCAGCTCCTTTGATGTGCTGCCACTGTGTGTGTGTATCTTCTTGAGTAACACTAACAAAACACAGCTTTTTGGTTTTAACTCACAGCCTAAGATTGCTCCCTCTGCTTCCCGTCCTAAGTGGGCATGGTCTTTCACCACTTGTTCTGCATGAGCTCCTGCCTGCTGTGAAGTAGCATCTGGGGTTGTGCCAGAGGGGGCCCATGGTCTCATCAGATAAATGAGAAGAGGCTGCAGATGTGCACGCAGGAACACTCGGGGTGGTTCAGTCCATGCAGAAACATTTATTAAGCTGTGGTGGCTGGATCCAGGCAGCTGAACCCTGCAACTCCATGGAGAATGAAGGGCATTGAAAGCCACCAATTAGGTCATCCAACCTGCTTCTCAGAAGCCAAGTGAGGATTATTCCCCTCTGTTCTTTCTGGTATTGTTCTCCTGCTGTGATTCTTTGTGTGGGTTCTTTCTCGTCCAAGCATTGTTGTTTTCCTAATCCCATTTTATGACACACTGTGAATCGGCTCAGAGGCTGCTGAATCACTCTGCTGTGATGCTGTTTGACTGGCTTCCAATTTGAAGCACTAAGAGAAAGCATTTCTTCCTCCACCCACTGCAAACAAAACAAAAATCCCCAAACTGAAGGAATGGACAGGCTCCAGTAACACTGAACAAACACAATTTAGAATTATTGGAGCATTTAATTTTTTATAAGCCTTGAATTTAAAAGTATGTTGGGGTTCGAGGGCATATGTGGTGTAGAGACAAATTAAAATTATTGAAGCACTTTCCTTGGGAAGCATTGGTAAGCAGTTCAAAGTTGCAGGAAGGAAAGCAAGGTCTCCAGATCTTTAAGACTACATATGCTTGAGAACCTCTTGATTTTTTTTTTTTTTGTTTTATTTCCTTATTGGCGACACTACCAGAAGCTGTCACAGACTCTGAGCTTAATTTAAAGGAATCGTTCCAAACTCATAAAAGATACATTTAGGATGTCATCTGTATCTGCTTTTTAGACTCCTGATGCCAAATTGCCCCTTTCCAAACATCTCCGCGTTCCAAACTGTCACCATAATGCTGGGGGAAGGAAAAATTGCAATTCACAGTTGGGAAGATATGAACAGGAAGGCAATGCTATAAATAAAGTGCTAACATGAGGCCGGGGGCTGCTCCTGCAGCCCCTCCCAGGAATTGCTGGGGGGACTGTGAGGCTCTGTTCACATTTCTCTCAGAGATGAACTGGTTACTTCTTCCTACCTGCTCATCATCACCTATTGGAAGCTTTTCCCTTCTCTGATCTGCCTGCTTGGTTGCTGGTATGATCCTTCCCCACTGCTTCAGCTGCTGTTGTAGCTTTGCTAAATTGGACCCATTTATTTGGAATGCACCAGCAGTTTGGAGGGATTTCCACTGGCATGCTCACAACCAGCCAGGAGCAGGCTGGGGGCTCTAACAATGAGCTGCCCCTTCTGTAGTGGGAGAAGGTGGAAAAATAGCACATTCAGCCTAGCACTTCTCCAGTTTTAGAGCCACAACTCCATCCTTGGAGGCCTTGCATCACTTTCAAATGGACTCAAGACTGGATCAAAGGTTTGGGACTTGATTCCATAGAGTAATGAGGTCTCTGGGTTTTTCCTCCATATTATCACCTCAGAGATGGGGCCATGCTCAGCTCTTCATACCCTATTTTAGAAAAATATTCTTTATTCCTTACAATTCTTTGGTTTAGGATCACAGGGAGGATCCAAAGTAGTGATAGCATATGTAAAGTTGAATGAACCTCTATAGAGAAATAGCAACCTGCTGCCTGTCCAGCTTCACCTGTCACTGCAGATGCTCAGCTGCTGGTGAAGCTTTCCCTGGCACAGATTAGGGAAAGCTCACTCCAACTGACCTACAGGATTTATCCTCTCCAGCTGAGGGACAGGGAAGAGGTGGTGGAGACCTGTAGATGTGTTGCTGCACAAACTTTCATGGAGATTGCAGGGGTTTGGCTTTGCTCTGCAAGTATGTGTGTTTATCTGTTTCTCTGAAAGGTGCTTTCTGAGGAAGAATTTTGTGCAGAAAATTCATTTGCACTGGCTGTTGCAAATTTTCCCCGTAGCAGGTTGTAAGTGTGACCAGTGTTATTTCCAGTTTTGCATGAGATAAGCATAAAAATGAGATTTCAAACTCAGCAAAATAACATCTTTGCTGTCAGTTCCTTAAATTTACCTTTTTCTGAGGAAGTCAAATGCCTTTAGGTAGCAAGTTCTCTGTGCAGCTCAAAGGGCTTGCATCTCTCCTTTCTTCCATCTTCCTTTCACCACAATCCCAGAATTCCAGAAGATGAGCCCCAGGAGGGCTGCATGGGACAGACTTGAATGCAGCTGGTGTGTGCTGTCACCACTCTCTGGGAAGCAGGAGCCTGGCCAGGTCAGGAGCTGGTTCCTCTCTGGATACTCAAATGGGGCCTGGCAAAGTAGACTGAGGCAGGGCTGGCCCTGGTGGAAGTTGTGGTTTACTGAGCAGTCAAATAGATGTGATTTTTATTGGGAAAGGGAAATGTAAACGAGTTAAAGAAAAAGTTTTCACTTTACTTGGCTTTGGCCTGAGGCAAGGAAGCTGCAGACTGATGGGCAGGGAGGAAACAAAGGGCTGTTCGATCAAGGTCTTCCCAAATCCTCAATGAACAGCTGAAGTTACATTGAATTAATTGCAGAGAACATGAGAAGAGAGAAGAGGAAATCTCAGATGATTAAAAAGTGGATGAATTCAGAAGAGCACTCTCCTAGCTGGTGGTGAAGGGCCATTGTTGGAGATGGTCACCCATGGTTTGAAAATGGGTTTGGCATTCCAGACTACTGCAAAAACCAGCATGAAGACCAGAACTGGTGGGTCTGCACTGAGCAGAGAGAGGAGCAGGTGGTTTTACCCTGGCAATGTCCCCACCATCCCTGGGAGCCACCACCTTGGCTTAGCCATGGGAACAGAACAAACAGCTGAATGTTATTACAGATGTGATTAGCACATGAGGGAGAGCTACAATTAGATTGGTTAACAAGTTTTAGCCAGGGTCATATAAAGAAGGATAATCTCTTTTTTCCTCTGCATTGAATTTCTTTTCTGAGCTACAAGAACCACTTTCTAGCACAAGCTGCTTAAACCTGGGAGATCAGCACCATGGCAAATACCACATGCTGAATTTTGGATGGTCCCAGACTCTGCATTTCATTATCACTACATTTGTTATTGTGATACAGTTCTAAAGCAGCATTTAAGAGATGTGTCTGGTCCCAGATGTTGACAGATCTGGCCAGGGTTTTCCATGTTGATAGCTGGATTCACTAGCTGTTGATAGCTAGTCTTTCATGTTCATGTGTGTGATAAACCTCTCATGTACTGGTAAATGTGGGGCCTTTAGAATTCTCCAGCAATTTAGAAAAAAAGCCCCGAAGTTCCACATGAAGCTGGATAAACATGAACTGTGGCATCGCTTCCTTGAGGGAGCTTCCCATGTGCTTTGTAAAGCAGGGACCCTCGTTCATCTCCTCCAAAGTGCTCCCCAGAGTGACAAAAATGGGGGACACAAACATTTTGCCTTGAGAAGGGCTCGTGTTGCCTAATGGAAAATTGCATGAAAGAAAATAATTGCTTTGCTTAAAATCCCTCCTTCCTCACCATCTCAGGTGGATAACAAGGAGGGAAACAGTTTCTTATTAAGCTTTGTATCAAGGAGCTACTGCATCTTCTCGGTCTTTCATGCTGTGTTTTGCCAGCAGATCAGCATTAACCTGGCCCGAGCACCTGTAGATCAGAAGACTGTCAGGATGCAGAGCAGCCACACAGCAGGCTCCCACAGTCTGCTGATCAGCTCTGATCTCTTCGTTTTTAATGAATAGTTGTAGCAGTTATCCTGCAGGGCTCAGTCAGTCAGAATTGCTCTAAATTTAGGCCACAACTAAGGACCTGAGAGAACTGTAATCAACAAGATAAATAGCTAAAGTCTCAAAAACCTGCTAAAACACTGACTTAGTGCTTAATTAAAATTCTAATGTGCTTACAGAAAGTAAAAATGTAAACCTGAATTTAGCAATTCAGTCAGAGCAATGGGGAGCTGTAGCTGGAATCCACCAATGTGACAACTGGCAACCAAGATGAAGATACACAAATCAAGCAAACATTTCTCTTTGGATTATTTTTTGTCATCGCATACGTTGTACAGTCTGCTTGGCCTGTCCTGATGGATCTAGCCATGTGTGTAAGGAAAAGAAGCTGAACTAACTCACCATGTACCCTTTCCAAGCTGCAGCTTGGTTCTCCTCTTGCTGCAGACTCCCAGGTTAGCTCCAAATGACTCCCTTTGCTAGCAGTCAGCCCCCTCAGTCCCACATGCTGATCTTCCCTCCCCACAAGTCACTTCTCCCTGATGACTTTGCCAGCCCTCAGCAGCTTGCTTGTTCCTCCACTCATGCAGCCTCCTGGCTGGCAGCACCATTGTGTTTGTTTGGAGCTGTCCTGGACAATGCTGCCCACTTTCCCGCATCCAGAAAAGCTGCTGACCCACAGGAGAACTGTGTCTGGGCAGAGACCACGCCAAGCCAAATGTCTGGGTGGTAACAGTATCTGCCCTGGCTGCTTTGCCTCTGGCTTTTTGTCACGGCTTTGTATGCCCTGACACATCTTCTGCAGGCAAATCAGTTCAGAGCACTGACAGGGGTTGTCCAGCATCTCCCTCCCACCTGTCCTGTGCCTGGTTAGCTGCCCATAGTCAGCCCTTGTGTTGTGCCAAGTCAAGCCACAGGGACTTTTGGACTGACACACTGCTGTCACAAGCCCTGGAGCATCCATTGGTGCTGCTTGTGGCCCCATCCTGTTTACACATCATTTATGGCCCTGCCCTGCCAGCCAGTTTCAGAGTCTCTTGCACAGAAGTGAGAGAAAGCCACACAGGCTGTGTCCATCTCAGCAGTGGTGTGTGGTCAGTGGGCTGCCTTTGCAATCACAGACCTGCCATCAGCATGGAAACAGCAGCTGGTGGAAAGGGGCAGCTTCTCTGTCACCAGTGCCAGCTGGTGTCAGTGGGGCTGGCTCTGTGGCCATTCCAGGCTTGGCCTTTC